ATATATATATATATATATATATATATATATATATATATATATATATATATATATATATAATTCTTTTATTTATTTATTGTTTTATTCATGTAGAATTTTGTGGATTTATTATTTAATTTATTTGCATATTTATTAATTTATTTATTTATTTATTGTATTTTGAAGGTTTTGTCCTCCATAGAGATGGGGGTAGACGTTAATAAAATGCATTAATGGATAATTTAATAAATAATATGAATAATACCCTGTATAATCACTGTTTTTACATTATTGTGAGGGTTGGAGTAGGGATAGAGGTTAATACAATACAATCAATGGGTAATTTAATAAATAATATGAATAATATTCGGTATAATTAGGGTTTTTACATCACTGTGAGGGTTGGGTCCAGGATTGAAGTCGAGGTAAAAGTTAATAAAATACAATTTAGTTGAACATTTTATAAATAATGTAAATAATTCTCTTTAACCTCTGGCCGCAGCTGTATCCCTTCTAGCAACAACCGTATTCATCCAGCTCAACAAGAGGCGCTGCTGCTGCGAAAGCAGACAAAAAAGCGGAAGTGACATCAAGAGACGCACTATCAACATTGGAGTGCGTTGTGTTTTGGAGCTAGTAGTTTTATTTCATCATGCCTGAACGCGAAAGTAAGTATGATATGCAATTTATTTCTTATTTATGCGATGAGGGAGCGACAAAACAGACAGTGAATTAACGTTAGTATAATAAGCGAACATTTGCGCTGTTATGTTTTGCTAACACTCGCCTGTGTCTCCTGTGTAGATCGTTAAGGAAATGCGATGTTCATACAAAGATGATATTAGTGCACATGTAGTGAAATATGCATTATAACAATCCAAAGCAGACACTTCTCTAGTGTTTTACATTGCTGCAGAGTCCAGAAATGAAGTGACTGCTTCATAATTGACTCCAGATTTATGATTGGGGTAAAGTTGGCTTTATATTTGCACTTTCTCCTTAATAATATAATTTCAGAAGAGTAAAAGTAGTAAATTCATATTATCAGCCATTGACTATCATAGTACAACACTGTTCACTGTCAATTAATTAGTGCCAATGTTGTTTTTAAGTCATTCTTGCATGTGATTTCAGAATGAATATTGGAAAGTACCATGGTATACAATCTAGGGAGTAGGGCTGCACATTATATCGTTTCAACATTGATATCTCAATGTGCGCATCCGCAATAGTCACATCGCATAGATATGCAATGTCCAGTCTAGGCATGGGACGATAACTGCTTTCAAAGTATACCTTAGTTTGAGAAAGTCAATGTTTTAAAACCGTCAACATTTTCTGCTATACCGTTCCTAAGGTATGAGTAAGATTTTTTTATTTACATTTTTTATTTTTAGGGTCAGCAGTATCTCCAACAGAAAAGGTTTCCAAAGATGCTGTTTAAATCGTAAAGAACTCTGTGTTTTTAAAACTAATTAAGACTGCAGGAGTCAATTATTAAAGTTCGTCGAGACAAACTTTAGGCTGGGGTTGAGAAAATCTGTTGGAAATAGTTTATTTAGTTTAAACAGTTTTAAAAAGTATGAAAAGATGATAGATAGAAAGACAGTAATAGATAGATAGATAGATAGATAGATAGATAGATAGATAGATAGATAGATAGATAGATAGATAAAAGCAGTTTGAAAAAGGACAGATAATTTTGAGGTCACAAAGTTAGATCTAATGTAAATCAATGACAGTCTTTTGCAATGGAAGTCTATGGGACAGTTGTTGCTAGGGTGCAGTATGTGGTAGTTAGGGGTGTGGCTAGAAAGTTAAAAGCTCATCAGTTATTGGTAGTTTGGTAGTCTGAGTTAAATGAGCTCAGCCATTAGTCTGTAAGACAATCTGATGCAGAGTTATGAGCTCACAAAGTTTGATCCCATGTTAAGTCAATGAGAGTCTTTTGAATGGAAGTCTATGGGACAGTTTCTAGGATCCAAAAGTGGTTGCTAGGGCGTGGCCAGAAAGTTAAAAGCTCATCAGTTATTGGCAGTTAGGTAGTCTGAGTTAAATGAGCCCAGTTAGAAGTCTGTGTGACAGTCTGACGCAGAGTTATGAGGTCACAAAGTTTGGTCCAATGTTAAGTCTATGGGATTTTTCCGACGGTCCCGGGACGTTTTTCAGAAAACCGAAAGTCGGATCAGTCGGAAAAGATATAGCATATTACCGAGTCAGAATAGTTTGGAGGTCTGGTGTGAGTTTGGTGGTCATAGCTCGAAAGCTCTAGGAGGAGATAGATTTTGAATTTTAGTCTCAGAAGAAGAAGAAGAATAAAAATATTAAGTTTAAATAGGTTTTCAGTAGTCTGGCTTGTTTCCCAAGCCAGCCTAATAATTATTTAGCCTGACATGTTTACTGTTCTGAAATACTTAAAATGTTTCCCAAATTAAAATATATTGTGTACAAAGGGGGGAAAAGGTTTTGTTCTTTACCCAGTCATTTAAAAAGATTATATTTTAGAGCAGTAATCTCAGTAATCTCAAACAGTGATATTTATATGCAAGGTTATCATACCGTCAGAATCTTATGCTGGCCCATGCCTAGTCCAGTCTGTATTATAGATGACCAGGATTTAATCAAATGCACTTTATATGATTCATGCAAAAAACATTTCATTCATTAATCTCTTAATATACCTTTTTTCCTTCTGACGGTCAAAACAAAACAATATTTTTACTTGGTCTAAGAATTTAGTTGATATTTGGACTAGAAATGAGACGAAAAAAGTAAAAATATATATATTTTTTGCATTGTGATTATTGAATTTCTGTACCGGAATACACTGAGGTAAAGTTGGTTTTATATTCACACAATCAGACTTTCTCCTTAATAATAGAATTTCTAAAAAGTATTCTTTGCAAATTTTGAATAGTGAATACTAGGGATGTAACGGTATCAGAATTTCACGGTATGGTAATACCTCGGTATGAATGTCACGGTACGGTATTTATTGAATCATTTACAGGAAAAAACAAAACTAATGAAAATACTCCAAAAAAGTGCCAAAAGTGTCAATGGCATACAAATTAGTCATCTATCTGTAAGCTTTGAAACAGGAACTTCAATTTTAATAACAAAAAATTATTAAACCATGTAAAAAATAAAGTTTCAATTTAGTATTGTTGAAAACTCATCACATTCAACATTTAATCACTCACTCACTTAGATAGAGATGGGTTTTAAGGAAAATTATCATATAAATATAATCTGGTAAAAGCTGGTATCTCTGGGTATTTACAATGTCCCCTGCAACAGAAAAAAACCCTCTCATTTGGGACTGAGGTTTCTGGGACAGAGAGATATGACTTGGCCCAGGTTGACAGCAGTGGGTAACGTTGTGCATTGTCTTTCCCCCACTTGAGTGGACAAACCATGAGTGAGATAGAGGTCTCATGTCTGCGTCAATCTGAACAGTGCGCTGTGTTTCTGCAGTCCACATGACTGTTATTAGTCGTATTCCCCAACTTGCAGGCACGTGCACACACAGTGCTCAACCTGTGCAGTGCACTTGCCCTTTTTAGTCTTGGATAGAAAGTTCCCTTCCAAAATGATCAAAAGTGCCCCCGCGAAGCGACACAACCTCCGTCCCGCTTTACAGTACGCGCGCGACAACACAGCTGATCAGAACTTGCGCGACAACACAGCTGATCAGAACGCGCGCGACAACACCGCTATTCAGTACCCGCGCGACAACACAGCTGATAAGAACTCGCGCGACAACACCGCTATTCAGTACGCGTGCGGCGACAACACCCGCTTTAGATTCGATCATTTCCAGCTCTTTTTCATCCCTGCTACTAGCAGCACACTCCATTTCCGCATTACTGGATCTGTAGCGACAACAGACCGCAAAGGATGATGGCCACGCCTGGGCTGATGGGAATTGTAGTTCCCGCTACCTCCCGTTCGCTTCATTCGCCTGAGCAAATTTTCTCAGAAGACCTATAGTTTTACCGAGTCATGCGACTACGGTAATATCGAAAAAAATTAATATTGCGGTATGACGGTATTTACAATATCGTTACATCCCTAGTGAATACGTATTTGCAGCCAATGACTTTTAAAATTACAGCATTGTTGACAGTCAAATAAATAGTGCCAGTGTTGTTTTCAAGTCATACTTGCATGCGATTTCAGACCGAATGTTCAAAGTACCATAGTAAACAATATAGGGAGCATGTCACAAGTTGTCATTGAATGAACGTGTGAATATAAAACCAACTTTACCTCAATCCCGAATACTGTTAGACTACCCAGAAAACCGTCAAATAGATCTTGTGAAACTGTATTTATATTGCAATATTTATCGTAATAAATATTAATCGTAATATTAGATTTTTCCAATATTAGCCCTTATAGTGAGCATGTAACAAGTACTAAACGAATGTGTGAATATGAAACCAACTTAACCTCAGTTAGTTCTTCTTTCTGTTGTGTACAGTAATGTCCTAATAACGTGTCTGTCTGTTTTTTCCGTCTTTCAGCTGATGTGTACTCTAATCCTCTGGCTCCAGATGGCCATGAGGTGGAGGACCACCGGTCAGCGCTGCAGTAAGTGCTCTTCACCATCACTCGCTGATAGGGCTGAATTATACTTCTGCATCGAGTGAATACTGTAATCCACAGTACCTGTACCGGCATTTATACTTCTGTATTTTGTTCGTGTTGCTCTGCAATAACACTTCCGAAACCCTAGCTGGCAGCAGGGCTCCATTTGGAGCAATCACAAAGCTTGTGCTATGTGTCGTCACAACGTGGAGTTAAATTATTTTGATTGGTGCACATCTTTGTCAGCCATAGAGAAGGGAAACCGAACCTCTGACATGCTTGTGCAAAACATAAACAAAGCAGCATTTACTACCATTATCAAAGTCATCACGGAGGCATTCGCTCCTGCAAATGTATGATAATCTAGTAATCCATATCGCTTGCGGATATTACAAATGACAGCCAGCCTCTTTATGTTCCTTCTTGGCTTTATTTTTTTACTTGCTAGATATAATATTGCAAAATCCACATAAATCATTTGACATTTTTCCGATCGCCCCCTAGTTTCACATTTTTTTTTCATTTTCATGGTTTTTACCGGATGTCAGATCATTTTTAATTAGACATTTGCAAAATGAAAAGGAATTATAGTTAATAATAAGCCCCTTTCACTCAGTGGTATGGTAAATATATGGAAAATTTCCGTAACGACTTTACCGGTATATTCAAAAAAGCGCTGTTCACACAGGCGAGGACGTTACGGAAATTTTCAGGAAAAGAGCATTCACACATCCATTCCACAATACGGGTAAATTCTGACATCATTAACCAGAAATGAGCTCTAAACGGCTGCGCTTGTGTTTGTAAACATTTGACTACATCACAAACTCTGTGGATGATCATTATTGTGAACAACTTCGATGAAAACAAATAGAGAAACACTTTCGCATGTCGAGATGTTCACAATATGTGCGTGTGCTGGCTGTTTCACGGGCACACGCAAAGCTTGAAGGTAAACAAACAGCAGCTTATCATAAGCATCTTATTGATAATTATTTACACGGTTGGCATTAAGATGAATATATAAACATTATCTGACTACTTTCTAGCAGCTAAATGCGTCTGGGAAAATATTCTAAGGATTTTATTCTTACAAACTGCGCGGACGTGAATGCGTCTGACTGTTCTGATTGGCTAAAGCCGACGTCTCACGTCAGCACGTTCTAGACGTGCACGCGCTCTTTCCGGCAATCTTCCTTCTGCGTTCACACAGAGCAGCATTCCGGCAAATTACCGGTAATCTTACAACTTCTCTTTCCGGAAAATAGCCAGAACGAATTTAACTTACCGGTATTTTCAAAAAGGGCCTGTTCACACATACAGACCTTCCAGAAAATTGCCGGTAATTCTCTCTAATGGAACACACAACATATACGTCTTAAAAAAAGATAAGACAACGCATAATATTCAGACGCTTAATATTTAGTGGTATTAGATGATAAGCTAGGTGCATTTATAGGTTATACTTGCAGGTTTTTAAAAAGTAAATTCTAGTGTTTGAGTTGTTCTTGCATTTTCATATTTTGACCAGTAGGTGTCTCTAGCATGTGCTGGTTCGAACGCTTCGAAATAGTGAATCAATTTGAATTGTTTTGAAGCTTTGAAAACCCATGACTGTATGTTTGTGTTTGTGACCCTCAGATCCAAGCTGACCAACGATGACTTCAGGAAGCTTCTGATGACCCCGAGAGCCACTCCGTCCTCGGCTCCACCCTCAAAAACACGCCACCATGAGTATGCGGGCTCGCTTAAGAGCTTTCTCTTATTATAAATGTACTGTTAGTCTTCATGATAATGGCTTCTTTAAATTCATTATGTTTTTGTCATTGTGAATTTCCCAGGATGCCACGGGAATACAATGAAGATGAGGATCCCGCAGCTCGCAGACGTAAGAAAAAAAGGTGAGTGAATGAAGCTGTTATAAAGCTGTCAGAGTGGTTTAATGTAAAATTCAGGTTTTAATAGCAGTTTTGTCCGAAAACATTTTTCTAAAGGTGCTTTTGACTTGAAATTTTCCCACGGATGTTGGTAACAACTAAAGAAATCCATACATGCAAGGAAAACAGATCTAATTAGTCTACAAATTAAGTTCTGTGTAATAAAATGAAATAACACAAGCAAAAAGTATTGAACACATGAAGAAAGGAAGGTGTAGAAAGGCAGTGAAAGCACAGACAGCAGCTGAAATCTCTCAGTAGTTCTTCAGCAAGCTTCTGCCCTTCTTCAGTGTAAATGAAGATCAGCTGCTTCAGTCCAACATCTACATTAGCAGGAGGATGAAGATGAACCCAGGGTGGACATTTCAGAAAGACATTGATCCAAACCACAGTAAAGGAGACTCTCAGATGCTTTCAGAGAAAGTAGAACAAGCTGTAGAATGGCCCAACCAATTACCTGATCCGAATCCAATAGAGAATACAAAATAAAGATCAGATTTGATAGTTGAGACCCACAAAACCATCAAGATCCATGAGATCTTATTGCATATAACTAATTTTTTTTTAGATTTTTGTTTTGTTTTTTGTTTGTATTGTTTGGGTTTTTACCAAAATCTGGTTCAATTCCATGTCAACTGCTCCTTTAGAAATATTATTCCCAGAAAAAAAGCATAACATAATTATTACTTTCTCCTGCCACTATATATATATATATATATATATATATATATAGTGGCAGGAGAAAGTAATAATTATGTTATGCTTTTTTTCTGGGAATAATATTTCTAAAGGAGCAGTTGACATGGAATTGAACCAGATTTTGGTAAAAACCCAAACAATACAAACAAAAAACAAAACAAAAATCTAAAAAAAAATTAGTTATATGCAATAAGATCTCATGGATCTTGATGGTTTTGTGGGTCTCAACTATCAAATCTGATCTTTATTTTGTATTCTCTATTGGATTCGGATCAGGTAATTGGTTGGGCCATTCTACAGCTTGTTCTACTTTCTCTGAAAGCATCTGAGAGTCTCCTTTACTGTGGTTTGGATCAATGTCTTTCTGAAATGTCCACCCTGGGTTCATCTTCATCCTCCTGCTAATGTAGATGTTGGACTGAAGCAGCTGATCTTCATTTACACTGAAGAAGGGCAGAAGCTTGCTGAAGAACTACTGAGAGATTTCAGCTGCTGTCTGTGCTTTCACTGCCTTTCTACACCTTCCTTTCTTCATGTGTTCAATACTTTTTGCTTGTGTTATTTCATTTTATTACACAGAACTTAATTTGTAGACTAATTAGATCTGTTTTCCTTGCATGTATGGATTTCTTTAGTTGTTACCAACATCCGTGGGAAAATTTCAAGTCAAAAGCACCTTTAGAAAAATGTTTTCGGACAAAACTGCTATTAAAACCTGAATTTTACATTAAACCACTCTGACAGCTTTATAACAGCTTCATTCACTCACCTTTTTTTCTTACGTCTGCGAGCTGCGGGATCCTCATCTTCATTGTATTCCCGTGGCATCCTGGGAAATTCACAATGACAAAAACATAATGAATTTAAAGAAGCCATTATCATGAAGACTAACAGTACATTTATAATAAGAGAAAGCTCTTAAGCGAGCCCGCATACTCATGGTGGCGTGTTTTTGAGGGTGGAGCCGAGGACGGAGTGGCTCTCGGGGTCATCAGAAGCTTCCTGAAGTCATCGTTGGTCAGCTTGGATCTGAGGGTCACAAACACAAACATACAGTCATGGGTTTTCAAAGCTTCAAAACAATTCAAATTGATTCACTATTTCGAAGCGTTCGAACCAGCACATGCTAGAGACACCTACTGGTCAAAATATGAAAATGCAAGAACAACTCAAACACTAGAATTTACTTTTTAAAAACCTGCAAGTATAACCTATAAATGCACCTAGCTTATCATCTAATACCACTAAATATTAAGCGTCTGAATATTATGCGTTGTCTTATCTTTTTTTAAGACGTATATGTTGTGTGTTCCATTAGAGAGAATTACCGGCAATTTTCTGGAAGGTCTGTATGTGTGAACAGGCCCTTTTTGAAAATACCGGTAAGTTAAATTCGTTCTGGCTATTTTCCGGAAAGAGAAGTTGTAAGATTACCGGTAATTTGCCGGAATGCTGCTCTGTGTGAACGCAGAAGGAAGATTGCCGGAAAGAGCGCGTGCACGTCTAGAACGTGCTGACGTGAGACGTCATGTCAACTGCTCCTTTAGAAATATTATTCCCAGAAAAAAAGCATAACATAATTATTACTTTCTCCTGCCACTATATATATATATATATATATATATATATATATATATATATATATATATATGTTTTTCCTGTTAGCTTTTTCATTATAAAATCTGTAAAATGCGAGTAAATTCAAATCGCAAAAATTCCTGATTAAATTACTGCGAGTTGTGTTATTTTGGTCGGACTTAAGAACAGAGTTTGCAGATTTTCTCACCTTTTTTGTGTTCTGTCTGCAGTTATTATGCTAAACTCCGGCAGCAGGAGATGGAGCGCGAGCGGGAGCTGGCGGAGAAATACCGCGATCGTGCTCGAGAAAGACGTGACGGTGTTAATAAAGACTACGAGGAGACCGAACTCATCAGCACCACTGCCAACTATAGAGCTGTCGGACCCACTGCAGAGGCGTGAGTTTAGTTTTACATCTAGATTTTGAATTTAAAAAAAATTAAATAAATGAAAATTAAAGTGATTTAAATTAAGAACTAGTGATTTTTTTTTTTAAATCAAATGATTAAAAACATTCAAGGATTTAAGATGCTGATGACCGTTTAACATGTCTTATGAAAAGGCTTCAAAGGACTTTGTGACATTTGTAATGTGTATTTTGTTGTTGCTTTTTTTCTCCTGCACTGATGAACAGGGACAAATCAGCAGCGGAGAAGAGGCGTCAGCTGATCCAGGAGTCCAAGTTCTTGGGTGGTGATATGGAGCACACTCACTTGGTGAAGGGGTTGGATTTTGCTCTGCTTCAGAAGGTACATCAGCAGAACCCACCGTATCGTAATCAAACCACCGCCACACATATGCAATCTTGCTCATAGAAAATCAAACTATTTTGTTTAACCTCAAGACATGATGAGATTCAGGATTCATACGGTCATGGAAAACCTGGAACAGTCATGCAATTCTGATATGGCTGTATACCGTGAATAATAAAGAAATTATGACATAAGACTCAGACAGCGTTACCAAACTCTTGGCTTTTGCCTAAACGTAAACTAAATACCAAACACTAATACTGAAATAATTTCAAAATAACATGCACAACAATATTAACGTTTATTAGCAACAAATAGCGGCTCATTAAAAAGTGTGAATACAACAGTCAAACAGAATTCAATTAACATAAACATTCAGAAACAGTTTTTACGCAGAGATGCGCACACAAATCTATTATATTTTACCATGTACTTAAAGAACTTTATTTCACTGTGTGGAAAGAGACCACTTCCTTCGCCAAGTATTTTGTCACTGCATCAGTACAGGTTTTCCAACGAACACCGTTCCTTTCGTACTTGTTTTCCCGAAGATCCCATAATTATCCATTACCATCAGCTGCGTACTAGCGATAGACCTAGATGTGTTGGTCCTGCATTGAGAAGCGTTGAAACTGTTGCACTGAGTGAACTGGTCAATTCTTTCAGCAGTTAGTGGATAGTAGTTTCGTATTTGCAACCTTAGGCTCGAGGTATTTCCATTTCTCGTGGTCTCTTTTTTTTTTTTTTGTTGCACAATTTGCAAATTACCTCATCCATATTTACCGCCTCTCCCTTCTCATTCGGTCGAAACCTGAAATGCTGCCAAACTACATAAGTTGTGTTTTTCTTGGTGCAACTTATCCCACCTCTCTCTTTTTCCTCTGATGACAACCACACATGCGCATATTAAATTATATTTAATATTAAATCCTTGTCTCCCATATAAGTGCATTGTTTTTTTTATGACGGTTTAAAGGTGTTGAATTTGATACGGTTGCTATTTTTAGATACCACGGTATACCGTATTACCACTCAAGCCTAATACATATATTTTTTGAATGGTTTTATTTTTAATGTTATCTGACAACAATGTTTACTTTAAAGGAAATATTTTAAAATGCGAATCCTTCAAAAATGGTACTTTTTTATCTAAAGTAAATCGTTTTAGATATTTATCTTGTGTATTATGTATGGCTGTTGATGTCCTTTTATTGTTATAATTTATTATTATAGAAAAAAGAGATATTTATAAAATGTTGGAAGTTTGTTCTGGTTTTGCCATAAAATAGCCAAAGAGGCTGATATGGTATAAACTCTTTCGTTTGCTCATAGTACTTAAAAAAATATATATATTTCTTTTAGGTCAGAGCTGAAATCACGAGTAAGGAGAGAGAAGAGGAGGACATGATCGAGAAAGTGCAGAAGGAAGTCAAGTAAGTTTAAGAAACTTTAATTTTTATTATTATTTAATTCAGCTTGTAGTGTATTTTAACATGTTTGTGTTTTACAGGAAAGATGAAGATCCAGAGCAGAAGATTGAGTTCAAGACCCGCATGGGTGAGAGTTTAAAAATCATTCCAAGCATAAGACTCTGAGCAGCATTTGAACATGTTTTAGTTCTGTTAGATGTGATATAACAGTACTGGACTGAAACTGTACACAAATGTAATCAGTGCTTGAACATGTATATTATTTATGCACCAAATGTTCAGGCACTGAAAATGATTTCGGCTGAAAGAGAAAAATGCCCAAAAATATGAGCAGAAAAAAGGCTTAAAAAGCATTAATTTCATTACACCATTTACACTAAAATGGCAAATCATACCTCCATACAACAGGGAAAGCCATCAACAATCAAGGATGGATATCTGGATGGATGGATAGATATATGGATGTGTGGATGGATGGACAGATGGATATGTGGATGGATGGATGGATGGATGGATATATGGATATGTGGATGGATAGATATATGGATATGTGGATGGATGGACAGATGGATATGTGGATGGATGGATGGATGGATATATGGATATGTGGATGTATGGACAAATGGATATGTGGATGGATAGATATATGGATATGTGGAAGGATGGATGGAGGGTTGGATGGATGGATCGATATGTGGATGAATGGGTGGATGGATTGGTAGATGTGTGGATATGTGGATGGATGATAGATGGAGGGTTGGATGGATGGATCGATATGTGGATGAATGGGTGGATGGATTGGTAGATGTGTGGATATGTGGATGGATGGATAGATGAATATGTGGATGGATATGTGGATGGATGGATATGTGGATGAATGGATAGATGGATATGTGCATGGATGGATGGATAGATAGATAGATAGATAGATAGATATATGGAAGGATGGATAAATATATGTATATGTGGATGGATGGAAATGTGGATGTGTGGATATGTAGATGGATGGATAGATGAATATGTGGATGGATATGTGGATGGATGGATAGATTGATATGTGGATGAATGGATAGATTGATATGTGGATGGATGGATAGATAGATATGTGGATGGATGGATAGATAGATATGTGGATGGATGGATGGATGGATGGATGGATAGATATGTGGATGAATGGATAGATGGATATGTGGATAGATGGATATGTGGATGGAAGGATGGATGAATGGATGGATAGATAGATATGTAGATGAATGGATAGATAGATATGTGGATGGATATGTGGATGGATGGATATGTGGATGAATGGATAGATTGATATGTGGATGAATGGATGTATCGATATGTGGATGGATGGATGGATGGATAGATATGTGGATGGATGGATAGATTGATATGTGGATGGATGGATAGATAGATATGTGGATGAATGGATAGATAGATATGTGGATGAATGGATGTATCGATATGTGGATGGATGGATGGATAGATATGTGGATGGATGGATAGATAGATATGTGGATGAATGGATAGATGTATATGTGGATAGATGGATATGTGGATGGAAGGATGGATGAATGGATGGATAGATAGATATGTGGATGGATGAATAGATGGATATGTGGATGGATGGAAATGTGGATGGATGGATGGATATGTGGATGGATGAATAGATGGATATGTGGATGGATGAATAGATGGATATGTGGATGGATGAATAGATGGATATGTGGATGGATGAATAGATGGATATGTGGATGGATGAATAGATGGATATGTGGATGGATGAATAGATGGATATGTGGATGGATATGCACGCGTGCATGTCTGTATGCAAGTAATTTGTTATAATTGGAAAGTGCTGAAAAAGTTTGAAAGTCCTTCTGGAAAGTGATTAAAGTTGTTGTTGTTTTGCTCTTCAGGAAGGAACATTTATCGAAACGTCTTCAAGGGTCGTCAGCTGGAGCGTAATGAGCTGTTCCTGCCAGGCCGGATGGCATACGTGGTGGATCTGGAAGACGAGTATGCAGACACAGACATCCCAACAACACTCATCCGCAGTAAAGCCGACTGTCCCACCATGGAGGTACAGACACACATGCACCATTACAAACCGCTATTTTATTTAAAAATAGCTTTCGCTTTAAAAATAATCTCCAACCACATGAAAATGCCAAAGTGCACTGTGATGCTGAACCAACAGGGGGCAATAATGACACATTTATACCTGGTTTACACCAAACGAGGAAGTGAATGAGAGAGAAAGTCTTGAGCCAAAAAGATTTGTTATTGTCGCAGCCAGTAAGGTTTGCAGGAGCGGGCTGAACGACTGTTTTCTTGTGATCTTTTGTTTTTCAGGCTCAGACGACACTCACCACCAATGACATCGTGATCAGCAAGCTGACACAGATCCTGTCGTACCTCAGACAGGGCACACGCAACAAGAAACTCAAGAAGAAGGACAAAGGTGCTCCCTGTTCATTACCAGTTAGCTGTTTGATTACGTTTTAAAGGGGACCTATTTTACCCCTTTCTACAAGATGTAGAATAAGTCTTTGATAATGTGCTTGTGAACAGTTTTAAGACTGTTCGAATCTGACTCCTGCTTTAAATTTAAATGAGATTGTACTCTTTTTCAGAAGAGGGCGGAGCTACAAAATGCTTATGTGTCAGCATAGTGGCAGGTTCAAAAACAAGACTAATGTCCAATGCTAATGAGGGAGAGATCATCACTAGTGGGCGGGGCTTTCCCCCCTCTGATGACATGTACAAAGGGAGAATGTCAATCAAAATGTTTCTGCAGACTGTTTATATCAAGTGTGATTATAAAAACATACAATTATTCATGTTTACCATTAGAAGCTGGTTATATTCACACACTGCTGTGTTTACACCCCTTATAAAAGTGATTTTTGCATAATAAGTCTGCTTTAAAAAGCAGATTGTAAAGCTGTACATCAAAAAACTGCATGAAAAATACACATCTTGTCTCTCAAATGAGTCCGCTCTGAAGCGCTTTAACTATTCTTCACATTTTTTATTTAATCTTGTTCCTGCTACCAATCATTATAAACAAGAGCAAAGTGAGACATTTGCATAGTCCCGCCTGCTTGTGACATACAAACACAAAAAGGAATAGATAGGACCAATCAAAACAGAGTTGGCTTAAAGAACGCAGGGTTTTTACGAATGGAAACGAACATATCGGAATCATTGAACATTTTTTCTAATATTAAATGCATATGAGAGCATGTTAAATCATATCGTATCATGTCAAATCGTATCATATACCGCATCATATATCATATCGTATCACATATTGTGTCATATATCATATCGTATTGTGTCATATCATTTCGTATCATAATCCATATTGTATGTTGTATCGTAAATCATGTTGTAACATATATCATATTGTATCATTCATCATGTCGTATCGTGCCATGCATCATATCTTATATTAGATCATATATCATATTGTATCATATGTCATGCATCATATCAATTATCGTATTATATGTCGGATATTACCATATATCGCATCGATTACTATAATGTCAAATATCTTATCGTTTCTTATATCACATCATATCATACATCGTATCATATTCTGTATCATATATTACATCATTTATTATTTTGTGTCGTATATTATATTGTACATCGTATTGTTTATCATACAGTATCATATATGATATCGTATCATACATCAAATTGTATCGTATATCGTATCAAACCATATTATATGTAATCCTGGTCCACAAATCTAGTCGTGAGTGCCATTTTATTATTATTATTTTGTTTTATTAACATTTATACATCACATAAAAGCTGAGTAAATAAGTTGATGTGTGTAAGATTGGACTATATTTGGCTGAGATGCAACTATCGAAAATATGGAATCTGAGGGTTTAAAATCTCTGACTTTTGCTTGAAACGAACATATCGAAATCATTGAACATTTTTTCTATTATTAAATGCATATGAGAGCATGTTAGAGATTAACTTTTTTTGTACACATCATTAATACACGTGTTTGTTTGTGTTTTCTGTTTTCAGGCCGTCTGGATGAGAAGAAAGCCCCAGAGGCCGACCTAAGGTGAGTTTACATGCGTAGTTAAACTTCATCTTGGCCAGGACGCCCTGGAAGAAGAGATTTACAGTTGAAGTCTGAATTACAAGTCCTCCTGAATTATTACCTGTATTTCCTGTATTTTTTTTTCTGTTCTAAACATAATAGTTTTAATAACTCATCTCTAATAACTGATTTCTTTTATCCTTGCTATTATGACAGCACATAATATTTGACTAGGTATTTTTCAAGATACTAGTATTCAGGTTAGTGTCATTTAAAGGTTAATTAGGCAAGTTAGAGTAATTAGGCAAGTCATTGTATAACAGTGGTTTGTTCTGTACGAAAACAAATATTGCTTAAGGGGGCTGATAATATTGACTTTAAAATGGTTTTAAAAAATTAAAAACCGCTTTTATTCTTGCCGAAATAAAACACATACGCCTTTCTCCAGAAGAAAAAATATTGTCAGACATACTGTGAAAATGTCATGAATATGTTAAACATCATTTGGGAAATATTAAAAAAAGAAGAAAATTCACAGGAGGGCGAATAATTCTGACTTCATCTCTGTTAATCTCAACAGAACCTTTATGGAAAAATAAATCAAATTAAATGCTTGATGAAGTTTGTTGTGAACCATCTGTGTGTGCAATTGCGTGCAGCATCTTTGATGACATCGGGGACTACATTCCTTCCACCTCCAAGGGCTTCAGAGACAAAGAGAAGGAGCGCTACCGGGAGCGAGAGAGAGAGAAAGATCGAGAGCGGGAGAGAGAGCGAGAGCGAGAACGGGAGAGAGACCGAGATGAGGAAAAAAGACGACACAGCTACTTCGAGAAACCACGCGCTGATGAGGAGGTCAGTTCATTTGTGCTATAGAATAGAATCGATTCTTTGTCAATTTACACCGTAAAACAAAGTATACTGTACAATTTAGAACAAAAATTAGAAGAATTTTTGAACTTTATTTTATTATATAATATTGTAATACGTAAAATTATCATATTAAATATCATATAGTATCATCTGTCATATATCGTGTCATGTATCGTATCATATATCTGATCCTATCATATGGTATATTATATCGAACCTTATATCATTTCAAATATCATATCGTAACGAATATAATGTCATATATCATACCATATATTGTACTGTGTATATAATGCTGTCATATATAGTGTCATATATCATATTGTATTCTATATCGTATCATAAATCATAGCGTATCATATCGTATATATCTTATCGTATATCATACTGTCATATATACTATCATATATCATGTCACGTATCGTATTGTAACCTATATCGTATCTTAAATCATCGTATCATATATCATATTTTCATATATCATCATATTGTATGTTGTATCGTGTATCATGCTGTATCATATATCGTGTCGTATCATGTTACATATAGTATCTCATATTGTATTCTATGTCGTATCATATATCATATCGTATATAATATATCATATTGTATCATACGTCATACATCATATCAATTATTGTATCATATATCATAAAATACTGTATATCGCATCGAATACCATATTGTGTCATATATAACATTGTCTTATATCATATCATATATCATAATGTTTATATAATACTGTCATATATCATATTGTCATATATCATACTGTATCTTATATCAGACCATAAATCATATCGTATCATGTCATATCGTATCATATACCGTATCATATACCGCATCATATATCATATCGTATCACATATTGTGTCATATATCATATCGTATTGTGTCATATCATTTCGTATCATAATCCATATTGTATGTTGTATCGTATATCATGCTGTAACATATATCATATTGTATCATTCATCATGTCGTATCGTGCCATGTATCATATCTATTTAGATCATATATCATATTGTATCATATGTCATGCATCATATCAATTATCGTATTATATGTCGGATATTACCATATATCGCATCGATTACCATATTGCGTCAAATATCTTATCGTTTCATATATCACATCATATCATACATCATATCATATTCTGTATCATATATTATATCATATATCATTTTGTGTCGTATATTATATTGTACATCGTATCGTTTATCATACTGTATCATATATGATATCGTAGCATCAAATTGTATCGTATATCGTATCATACCATATTATATGCAATCCTGGTCCACAAATCTAGTCGTGAGTGCCATTTTATTATTATTATTTTTTTATTAAGATTTATACATCACATAAAAGCTGAGTAAATAAGTTGATGTGTGGGGTTGGACTATATTTGGCTGAGATGCAACTATCGAAAATATGGAATCTGAGGGTTTAAAATCTGTGACTTTTGCTTGTGTCCTGCCTACCAGGAGGGGCCAATAATATAAATCAAAAATGTGTAGTAATTGTTGTATTTTTTTTGGTCTTTTCAGGTTATCGACATTGATGATAAAGGTAAGCGTTTATATCCCTCACACTATCTGCATTTTGAGTTTGCTCATAAAAACTAGGAGGATAAAAGACCCAAGGTAATATAAAGGAGTTTGATTGGTAACGCTTGTGATCGTTTTCATTCAGGTCCAGGCTCCGTGAAGGACCAGATCAAGCTGATCAACGAGAAGTTTGCAGGAGCCGCTCATCAGCTGGGCCCGGAAGCATATCCTTCACTTTACTGCTTATTTCACAGGGCTAGCTGTAGCATTTACACTGTTGAACAATAGCAATAATGGCGTCACTGAAAACATGGACTGAACTTATTACAAAGCAGTGCTGCCTAATGATTTAATGGGAATAGTAGTAAATAATGTGAAGACTCCCTCAATCTGATCCTGTATTGCTGCTCTTTTATTTTATAATAATAATTACAGTAGTCGCATTTCATATTTTACACTAATGCGTGTTAGAATTAATTGCTTTCGGTTTCTGAAGGGGTATAATAAACCAAATAATGTCACATCCCCTGATTTTATCGAGGAATGGCTTTAAAACATTGTAGTGAATCAAGTCAGTGGCTTTTTTCCAAATGCTAATTTAGTAGCATGCTGTGTCAGACAGTTGAATTCAGATTGATGTAAAGTAATCTTGTTGAGTTTGTAGTGCGTTTCTTTAACTGCGAGCACTGGAAGCAGACGTGACGAGAAGAAGCATCTGGGAGATTTCTTTGGGATGTCGAACAGTTACGCTGAATGCTACCCTGCTACGTGAGTTGCTATTTACCATTACCATCGGTAGACTACGCTAAATGTAATCTAATGTTAAAACTCTATTCATTGTATTGTTTATAATCACTCTTGATATAAACAGTCTGCAGAAACACTTTGATTGACATTTTCCTTTTGTACGTGTCATCAGAGGGGGAAAGCCCCGCCCACTAGTGACCATCTCTCCCTCATTAGCATAAGATGTTAGTTTTGTTTTTGAATCTGCCACTATGCTGACACACAGGCATTTGTAGCTCCGCCCCCCTTCCAAAAAGAGGACAATCTCATTTAAATTTAAAGTGGCAGTCACCAAAACACCACAATTAGGATCAAAGCCTGAAAGGGTCAGTTTCAGAAGGTTATAACATGTTATTTGTGTTGTATTTGGAGCTGACACTTTACACACACACACACACACACACACACACACACTTTAGAGACATATTTTACTCATTGAGACTTGGTTTACGCCTTGTAAAAGGTAATAATATGTCCACTTTAAGCAAAAAAAAATAAATAGAAATAATGTTTGCTGTTTGTCCTGCAGGATGGATGATCTGGCTGTGGACAGTGATGAAGAGGTGGACTACAGCAAGATGGACCAGGTACGAGTAGACATATGCTGATATTTAATCATTCAATATATGATGAGTTCAGATGCAAAAACCGCTAAACGCCATAGACCTTTTTCATGGCTGCTGCATGGAGGGCGCCATAGCGACCAGCGTCTTCCGGTAGAATGCTAAAAACTTCAGTTTTTAACTGGTAATTTGCGCTCCGAAAATGGGTTTCAATAACGTTTTTATAATGGATAAGAGTGTTTTTGTGACACACAACTTAGAAATGTGTCTGTTAAAGCCGTTATAATCTGTCACATGTGGTTCAAGCGCGTCAGAAATACGAGAAAAACGTTCTCCTAATTCACGTGTCTGCCGTCAGAAATACAGTGTGTGTGTGTGTGTTCCCGGCCTGTCAGCTGTTAGCTCAGCGGCTCTTTAACACACACACACACACACACACACATGCACACACACACACAGAGAGAGAGAGAGCAAACCAGAGTACTGGCATGAAACTTAACAGGTATGAAAGTCGTGCAATTTACAAAAATGAGCAATAAAAGTCTGTTATTGATGCTCTGCTGCTGATTTGCTGTTCATTCTAATCGCGAGTCGTTTGTGTTTTATTTGGTGTGTTGTTTTTACCACGGTTTGTGTTTTTCTGTCATTTGGAAATGACACTAGCCTATATTTTCACTTTGTCACAGTTATTAAATCAGTGTGTCAGTGGCACAGTACAGGCTACGTGTGTGTGTGTCAAACATTTTGGTGAATTGCATTAGTCTGGGCTGGTTATATATTTGAAATAAAGAGAAAATGTTGACTTTAGCGATGACGAGGCTTCATTTAAACTGCAGAAGATGCCGTCTGACAACGATGGGAAAAACGCCTCACAGCAGCTGTTTTCCATCCTATTAGATGGCATTTCTTTAAGTGATCAGTCCAGGAGATGCTGCTGATGGACAACAGTATTAGCTCAAAGAGGATAAAAGCAGGTAAAATAGATTAAAACTATCGTTTCAAAGCTGTCCAAATGTGACTGTTTACACGCATCAGCTGCCGACCGGAAGTTCTTCGCATTCTCCTTGCGCATACACGCAAAGCATAATGGGTAATTATGCATTCCAAGAAAAAGGTCTATACGAGATAATGACATTGAGTGAATGCTTTAGGCACGTAGTACATGTTCAACAAATATTTTTGCTTCAAATCATCTTAATCGCAGCATCTGCGCATTCAGAAATAACAGTTTGTTTGCAAAGCCGCTAAACACCACTTGCCTTTGACAGCAAAAGCCGCTATATCCCGAGAACCAATCAGAAGGTGTGAATCGAATCATATGTTTTCAATGTAGCAGCGCGCTGATACGCCGGCTTTATGAGGAGACTGATTTAGATTTTGATTTTAGAAGACAGAGTTTGATAAATTGGATGAGCCTGTCCGACTGTCAGTGAATGGCAAATGAAAACATCCCTTACCTCAAAACTCATTATAAGAACAAGAAAACACACGGAACAGTCAGAACGTTTTTTTGCACGGTCCGATTTACTATACATTAAACAACAACTCGGATGAACTTAAGATGACGTTCTCACCAAGACCTTGAGTATAGTGAGAATAAATGAATGACAGCTTCTAAAATAGTCTGAGAGGCGTCCCCTTTTTGCTCAGTAGGCTTGTGTTTTATTTGCTAATGTAAGCTATTTTTAAAAAATATATATATAAATAATGTATAGTTTTATACATTGTTTATGACTTCATATTACCCATACGCCTGATAAGCTTTTTATATTAATGGGAAATGCAGATATTGATGTTTCACAATGTTTTACACTACACTCTTTGAATCTAACAAGCTTAATTTACAATGTTTATGGTTTAATTTAAATCCCAAATATCAGAAATGACAACAGATTGTTCAGATTTAATTATTGTCAGTTTTAATGTTGTTGATTAATGCACTTGACAGATTTCATTCATTTGTTTTCCTTTTGCTTTGTCCCTGATTCGTCAGGGGTTACCACAGTGGAATGAACCGCCACTTACTTGACAGCTTTATGTATTTTTAATGTTAGGTGGTTTGTGTAATGTGTTTTATGTTTGGTAAAATAATTTCTAATTGCATCTTTTCAGCTAATTACAGTGTCTTGTCCCAACAGGTGGATTTAAAGGTTTTTGCATAAAAGGCAGACGTGGATTTAGCTGGTTTTGACGCAAAAAATCAAAGATTTGTCTAAAGTGACATTTTTGAAAAGAAGCTATTTTTTTACTAGATAACAACCTTTTCGTTAGCTTTACGACACTTCTAAACCTAACCTGATAGAAGGAGCCTGATAGAAAATGCTCATTTATGAAAAAAAAATTCATAAATTTTCATACATTTTCCATCTGAACTCTTCATATATACATTTAAATACAAAATTTTCAACAAAAAAATTCAATTAAATTTAAAACATAAATTGTAAACGACTTTAAAATGAATAATAATTAAAAAATCTTACAGTGTGATTTCAGTGAGCTGTAATGTCTCTGATAAGGTGTGTCTATTATAAATGTGTGTGCGTAGGGTAATAAGAAGGGTCCTCTTGGCCGCTGGGACTTTGACACTCAAGAGGAATACAGCGACTACATGAACAACAAGGAGGCGCTGCCAAAGTAACACAAATTTTTAATTCTGAGTTATCAGTTCTGATCAATGTGTGTGCGTGTGTGTGATGATGATGATGATGATGGTGGTGGTGGTGTTTGCAGGGCTGCGTTCCAGTACGGCATTAAGATGTCCGAGGGCCGAAAGACTCGCCGCTTTAAAGAGACCAATGAGAAGGCTGAGCTGGACAGACAGTGGAAGAAGATCAGTGCGGTGAGTTCACTAGCCGTTAATAATAATCTTCAGTAAATCAAGTGTTGAGTGAGATTTCTACAGGTCGTGGGATTTCTGTAATGTCATTGAATTTTAAGAGGTGCATTCCAGACATTGGGAGTCAGGCAGTTTTATATGCATTTTAATCCAAATCATGGATTTTAATTTGATTTGTTATTTTTGTTTGTCATGGGTTTTTCTCATGGTTTTTTATGTATTGTATAGGGGTGCCAAAATTATTCTTTTTTTTCGATGCATCGCGATCCAGATGGGAAAATTTCGATATCAGTTCAGTAATAGATCATAACCGGTTATTACGTGCTGATGTCATTCATCTCCTATTCTTAATGTCGCAGTAGAATACTATGGCGAAGGAGGCGATGGCGAGTAAATAAATGCTACTACTACTTGAAAGGTAGATAATTATGCAGTTCAACTGCTCCGGCGCCTCATTTTTCCCTCCTCTCATAACATGACGGATCCGTTTCCCAGATCTGTTTCGGTATCTCGCAATTTACTAAATGACGCTGCCACATGTTTACACTGAAATGCCTATTAATCCTTTTCAGATCATCGAGAAGAGAAAGAAGATGGAGGCGGATGGGTGAGTGGCGCTGGCTTTTGAATTCCTCTCTTCAGATACTCCTGAGCTCTAAAAAAAGTGTTTAACAAAACAAGTTCATTTACTTTATAATCATTTTATTTATAGCTATTTGTCTTTGAGTAACGTTATTCATAAATAGCTGGCTAAAATAGCTGCCTGATGTGAATGACCTTGAGTTATTGTGCAATGAAACGCTTGTAGTTAGACATTAAGGCTGCTTTCGCACCTGTGAATCGATTCAGTTGTTCTGAAACAGAGATTAAAATTGTTACATTGTTGCTCTTTGCTCTTGGAGCGGTTCGCTTTCACACTGCAAAGTTTCTAAACGGACCAAAAGAGCTAAAACAAGTCACGTGCGAGTAAACTCTCCTCACATTGGTCAGAGTGTCAGGGTTTATTTTGCAGCGTCCCGCTCAGCTGTCAGGAGAGGTGGTGGTTTGGTGGTGATTGACAGGGTGCGCACGCGACGTGTCTGAGGAGAGACACGGTGGGAAGGGGTGAGAAGAGTGCGTGATGATGCCTATTTGAGGACCGGGAGGGAGACGTGAGATTACCGGGAGATCATCACTCGTTTACGGGCATCTGGAGACTCGCGAAACTTCCCGCCATACTCATAATACTCTCTTCATATAGCCGTAAGCCTATTACATATGCATAAAACACTGTGATATAACCGTGCTCGGATCGGATCGCTTTCTCACTGCAATCGAACCGCTCCAGGGTTCATTTCAATCGAGTCGAGGCCACCTCATTCAAGCGATCTCGGAGTGATTACTTTGGCGCGGAACAGAGCGCGATTGCCCTGTTCACATATGCCAATCGAACCGCGCTAACTGGGCAAACGAGACACGTTCCCAAACAAAAGTGTAGGTGTGAAAGCACCCTTAAACAGGGTATCTGCAGGGTCTTAAGTCTTAATTCTCAAAAACAGAATTTTAAGCCTTAAAGTATTAAATGTACTAAAATATTGTGTTGTTCGTCTTGAATCTTTTTATAAACAGTTCTTAATTTTCTTTTCTTTATGTAAAGCTACCCAATCTTGCCATCAACACCCATACAATCACCAACAATCATCTCTATAACTTTCTATTTAAAAATGTAACTTTAACTCTATTTACTATAATGGTTTAATATTTTTTCTTATAATAACACAAAGTTCCCTTTAGTATTTACTGCTGAGGACAGACTGCTGTGCATACCTTTAGTTTATTATAGTTTATAAAACTTTTTTTATTTTAAAGAAAGTTTACGTTGAAAAAAAGTGTATGTTTACAACTAGAGCTTGCTTGTTTTTACACAATATTTAAAATATTTTGCTGAGAATTGCTAATTTTTTATTGTATTATTAAATGTATTAAATTATTATAATTTTTTTTATAGGGCAAATAAAAATATTTTCCATCTGGGCCATTTGAAAAGGTCCTAAGTGTTTAGTCCTGTACGAGTCTAAAATTTCATTCATAATGGTCTTAATGTCTTTAAAAGTCTTAAACTTAACGTGGTGAAACCTGCAGAAACCCTGTTAAAGTAGTGTCTCTCTCTCTCTCTCTCTCTCTCTTTTATAGGGTTGACATCAAGCGGCCAAAATATTAGACAGAAGAAATCTCTCCCTCTGTGTGAATGTGATGCACATGTACTAACAGTAGAAATCTTGATACTGTAATACTTTGTTTTGTTTTTGAGAGAATAGATGTGGTATTGTTTGTAATGTTGAGTATTTCACTTATAATCTCATGTGTTTAGTCTATAATGCCATAATGGATGAAGACATCTACATTTCTTCATCTTAGACTTTCATCTGTTGCTTTTTTCAGCTTTACATTTTGTCTTTAATCTACTCTTGATTCCCATTCGAGTGCATTTATTCAGCCTGCATTACAGTGTAATCCTGAGCAACAATAAAACAGAATAGGAGCCGTTATATTATGTTGTTTTTTATCCATGGTGAGATGTAAACAGCCAATCACACAACATCAGTGCAGCGTACAGCCAATCACGCGAGACATGAGAGTCAAACCATCCTGGAACTTTTGGCATACTCTTTTCAACATACTACGATTTGGAACATGTTCTATTTTCAAATATGTTACTATTTAAGACGGATATAGTATGTGAATTGGGACGCACCGACGGAGTCTGTTTGGCCTGTTGTGTAACTCACTTTGTTGAAGATTAACAGTCGACTCATTGGAAGTGATTGAACTGAATTTATTGAATCATTCATAGTTTACACAGAGCTTTAAAATAGAATATGAAAGCACTGTCGTTCATTTATAGATGTAATATTAACAATCAAATATATTTTTATAGGTTTTAAATAATACAGAATTGACAGGAAATAAATACATTCGGTATGAGAAGACAAACGGGCAGTGGCTTTAGTGTCACTGTTCACAGACTTGTCAAAGAATTAAAATCGAAAGGTGACACTGCACAGCTTATCGAGTTAGAATCAAGTCAACTAGAGTACTCGGGTTAAAAGTAGAGTCAACTCACACGAAATACGTTACCCAATTTCAAGTGGAGTCTACTTGTATGTTTTTACAGGGAAACTCAACGTTCAATCTCTGGGTTAAGGGAGTAAATAAAGCCAGAGCAGGGTATCATGTAAACTTTGAAGGGATCGTTCACACGGAAATGAAGACTTTCCTATACCTTTAATCATTTTTGATCTGTTAACCACAAAAGAAGATAATCTGAAGAATGCTGAAAACCGGTAACCATTGACTTCCATTGTAGGAAAACTAAATGCTATGTTGTTTTGTTCAAAATATTAAAAGGTATTTGGAAAAATCCGGTAACCATTGACTTTCATAGTATTTGTTTCTCCTACGATGCAGGTCAATGGTTACAGGATCATATTGTGTGTTCAAAACATCAATAACAAAGGTCATTCTGGTTTGGAAGAAGTCGTTGATGAGTAAATGATGACCAAATTTTCATTTTTGCAAAGAATTAAACTATTAGATTTACAATCTGTGACCTGCTCCAAAATATCACCATGATCTGTTATTGTTGATCCATTAGGAAGTGGACTTTATTTAGTCTTTATCCTCTCTTGAGTGTGAAATGCATTTCTTAAAGGGACGGTTCACACAAAATGAAAATTGTCATCGTTTCCTCGCTCTTGACTTGTTTCAGTGCAGTTTGAGTTTTGTTTTTTTTTAATCCGTAAACTAAAAATAGAAGATATGAAGAATGTTGAAAACCGGTAACCATTGACTTCCATTGTAAAAAAAAAAAACAAATACAATGGAAGTTAATGGTTACAGGATTTTTCAGAATATCATGATCATCATCATCAGTTTGTGTTTAAAACAACAACAACAACAACATTTGCATTTCTTAATGGGACGGTTCACCCGAAAATGAAAATTGTCATCGTTTACTCACCCTTGACTTTTTTCAAACCAGTTTGAGTTATTGTTTTTTTATCTGGTAACCAAAAAAGAAGATATTCTGAAGAATGTTGAAAACCGGTAACTATTGACTTTCATTGTTGGAAAAACAAATACTGTGTTGTTTTGTAAAAAATGTTAAGGATATTTGGAAAATCCTGTAACTGTTGACTTCCACATTCTTTGTTTCTCCTACAATGGAGGTCAATGGTTACAGGATTATTCGGAGTATCATCTTTTGTGTTCAAAACAACAACAACATTTGCATTTCTTAAAGGGACAGATCACCCGAAAATGAAAATTGTCATCATTTACTCACCCTTGAGTTGTTTTTTAATCTGTTATCCAAAAAAAAGAAGATATTCTAAAGAATGTAGAAAACCGGTAACCATTGACCTCCATTGTATTTGTTTTTCCTACAATGGAAGTTAATGGTTACAGAATTTTTCAGAATATCAGCTTTTGTGTATAAAACAACATGCAACTATTAGACTTACAATCAGTAGCCTGCTCCAAAATATTAAATATTGTTACTCCACTAGGAAGTGTACGTTTAGTCTATCTGTTAGCCTCTCTTCAGTGTTAAATATTGCATTTCTTAAAGAGACGGTTCACCCTTAAATAAAAGTTGTCATCGTTTACTCACCCATTGACTCGCTTCAAACCAGTTGGAGGTGTTGATTTTTTTTTTTTTTTTAAACGGTTCACCAAAAAAGAAGATAATCTGAAGAATGTTGAAAACTGGTAACCATTGACATCCATTGTAGGAAAAACAAATACAATGGAAATCTATGGGTAAAACAAATGCTATGCTGTTTTGTACAAAATATTAAGGATATTTGAAAAAATTCGTAACCATTGACTTCTATAGTATTTGTTTCCATTGACTTCCATTGTTGGGGAACAAAAAATACTGTGTTATTTTGTACAAAATATGAAAGATACTATTTGTTTCTCCTACAATGGAGGTCAATGGTTACCGGTTTTCAACATTCTTCAGATTATCTTCTTTTTTTGGTTAACCGTTTAAAAAAAATCAACACCTCCAACTGGTTTGAAACGAGTCAATGGGTGAGTAAACATTGACAACTTTTATTTAAGGGTGAACCGTCTCTTTAAGAAATGCAATATTTAACACTGAAGAGAGGCTAACAGATAGACTAAACGTACACTTCCTAGTGGATTAACAATATTTAATATTTTGGAGCAGGCCACTGATTGTAAGTCTAATAGTTGCATGTTGTTTTGTACACAAGAGATAATATGCTGAAAAATTCTGTAACCATTAACTTCCATTGTAGGAAAAACAAATACAATGGAGGTCAATGGTTACCAGTTTTCTACATTTCTTCAGAATATCTTCTTTTTTTGGTTAACAGATTAAAATACAACAACAACAACAACAACAACAACAACTCAAGGGTGAGTAAACGGTGATAATTTTCATTTTCGGGTGAACCGTCCCTTTAAGAAATGCAAATGTTGTTGTTGTTTTGAACACAAAAGATGATATTCTGAATAATCCTGTAACCATTGACTTTCATATTATTTGTTTCTCCTACAATGGAGGTCAACAGTTACAGGATTTTCCAAATATCCTTAACATTTTGTAAAAAACAACACAGTATTTGTTTTTCCAACAATGCAAGTCAATAGTTACCGGTTTTTAACATTCTTCAGAATATCTTCTTTTTTGGTTACCAGATTAAAAAATAACAACAACAACAACAACAACAACAACTCAAACTGGTTTGAAAAAAGTCAAGGGTGAGTAAACGATGACAATTTTCATTTTTGGGTGAACCGTCCCTTTAAGAAATGCAAATGTTGTTGTTGTTGTTGTTGTTGTTGTTTTAAACACAAACTGATGATGATGATATTCTGAAAAATCCTGTAACCATTAACTTCCATTGTATTTGTTTTTTTTTTCTACAATGGAGGTCAATGGTTACCGGTTTTCAACATTCTTTTGTGTACAAAACAACACAAGTCTGGTCAACGTCAAATATGAGCAAATGATGACAATTAAAATTTTTCACAAAGCAGGACATGCAACTATTAGATTTACAATCAGTGACCTGCTCCAAAATATCACTGATGCTAATGGTCTTCATTTAGTCTGTCCGCTAGCCTCTCTTCAGCATTTCTTAAAGGGACGGTTCACCCAAAAATGAACATGCACTCACTATTTACTCGCTCCCTTTCTATGAGCTTCCTTCTGCTGTGGGAACAGAATGGAAGATATTTCTACCCACTGACTTCCACAGCAGGAAAAACAAATGCCATGGAAGTCAACGGGCTTCCAACATTCTTCAAAATATCTTTAATATATATAGGTAACAAGGGAGAACTACCCCTTTAACTGTGTTAGTGACAGACTCACTGTAACATTCAGGTTTGAGGTGATTAATGCATTAATAAAGTCACGTGTGAGGTGCTGGAATAAATAAGGAGAGCTGAAGGATCACAGTCTTGATCGGTCACGCTTCATCAGGAGAACTCTTCAGAATACAGTGACGATGGCTCCGTCTGTCTCCACAGGACTCTGCAGATCATGACAGAAGCATTTCTGATATGACATTTATTCAACTTCATTTTTAAGTCATTGCATTAGCTGCTTTATGCAGAGTGATGCATGAAAAAAAATAACTTGGAATTAAAGCTGCAAGCAGCGATGATAGGGACCTCGCACCCGGGCTGACCACTGCCCGGCGGCCTCAGGATGACAGAGAAGAGCGAACAATAAACAAAAAATCTGAAAAAAATCACAGATGTATGCCAAACTTCCTTCTGTCAGCAGGTGGTGCTATGACTTGGACTCAATGTTGGCATGTAGATGTCTTCAGGAGAGGAATCTTATCGACCATGTGAGGTTTCAGGCAGATCAGACACTGGCTGTTTCTCAGTATGCGTTCTTCAGCGGTCTTGCGTCCTCGTGTTCTCGTGAAACGTCATCATCAGCTGCCTAAGTTCAGTTCCAATACTCAAGACCGCAAGTATGGAGGACGCGTGAAACTTCCCGGATGTGTTCTTGATATCGAGGACGCACCGATGCAGACTTGAGCACCGAACTTGCTCTAGAAGTCCTAGAAGTCATTGCGACTGGAGGTGGGAAGCGCAGCATTTTATTTAGATTTATTGGTAACACTTTAGAATAACTATCCGTTATAACTAGTTAATAGACCATTAATAAACTTTTAGTTAACAAGTTATAAATGACTTGTTAAACAAAAGTTAATAGTTTGTTAATTATTTATACTTGTGCCTTATAGATGGGCAATGGATAACTTACAAGCTGTTAGTTAACAAGTTGTAAATTTCTTCTTAACTGTATTTTAATGATTTATAACTATACCTAAAACATTAGTAATAGATCATGAACAAGCTGTTAGTAAATAACTTAATAAAGGCTTGTTAAGTATCAGTTAATAGTGTATATATGTTATTGGGACGTTATTCTAAAGTTGCAGCTATTCTTCATTTATTAACTGTTAGTAAATGAGGAATAGTTGCAACTTTAGAATAACGTCCCAATAACATGCTTGAGCTAATAACTAACACTTAACTATTATATTTACTCACACTTCACAGACGAGAGTTGTTCATCGTTTGTTAACCATCTACTAATACCAGAGAATCTTTGTAGAACAGCAAATGGATGGAACAAGTTCAAGCTACAGAAATTTGATGTAATATTTAAAATATAAAATGTTTGTTTTTAAACCTTGTTCCACTTATAGGCTATTCTGTGTGCTGTGTTTTACCAAAGAAACTCCACATATGAAATGTTAAACGTTGTGTTTAATGTATAGAAACACACATACTGCGCCATCACATGGCAGTACAACAGTATGCAAGAATACAAACCCATGAAGTGCTAAACATGAAAACAAAATAAATAAAAATGTAAAATTACACCAGTGGTCTAATAAAAAAGTTTCACTGGTGTTATTAGATGGTGAACAACTGATCTGTAAAGTGTGAGTAAATATAATAGTTAAGTGTTAGTTATTAGCTCAAGCATGTTATTGGGACGTTATTCTAAAGTTGCAACTATTCCTCATTTACTAACAGTTAATAAATGAAGAATAGCTGCAACTTTAGAATAACGTCCCAATAACATACATACACTATTAACTGATACTTAACAAGTCTTTATTAAGTTATTTACTAACAGCTTGTTCATGATCTATTACTAATGTTTTAGGTATAGTTATAAATCCTTAAAATACAGTTAAGAAGAAATTTACAACTTGTTAACTAACAGCTTGTAAGTTATCTATTAGCCATCTATAAGGCACAAGTATAAATAATTAACAAACTATTAACTTTTGTTTAACAAGTCATTTATAACTTGTTAACTAAAAGTTTATTAATGGTCTATTAACTAGTCATAACGGATAGTTATTCTAAAGTGTTACCGATTTATTATTAAAGTTCAGAGATATGACTTATTTACCTCAGGAGTTTCCCTAAATGAAACGGTGAGAGTAAACATTAACATGAATATCTTAATTAAGGAATAAACACATTAAGGGTGTTTGTTTGCTGAAATTCGTATTAAAATCTGTTTTATTTATATTGTGCAACATATATTTATAATGTTTTTATGCAAAGTATATATTTTGAAAAGGGGAAAAACAATAAATCGTTGTATGAATGCTGTAATGTTTAAATAATTTACCATTTAAAACACGTGAAGGTCATGTGACCATCAGGAAGAACGCAGCATCTCAATTCTCAAAGGATGCGTTCTCTGCCCTCGCGGTCTCCTGAGTTCGTTCTTCCGAGGACACCTGGCAACACCGGTCTCCACAAGGACACAAGTCCGTTCTCTGCGTTCTTGGAATTGAGAAACAGCCAGAGTGTGGCTAAGTTATAAGTACTTCCTGTTTCATGGCGAATCACTGCGGTTTGTCAGGCTCCCTTGGACACGCCCTTTGGCAAAAACTCTAGAGCTGCGTCCCAAATGGCACACTATACACTATGCACTCATGCACTTACGCACTCAACAGGATAGTACATGTATGTAGTGGCGTCCCAAATGGAGCACTAATGTTTTTTTACTAAGTAGAAATTTAAACCGTTTCCCTGATGACGTTTGACGGTTATCAGTGAAATAAACGACCGAATTATCAAATAATACCTGCAGTGAGTATAACCGCATTCATTTAGAGTGAATGAAAACATCCCCAACAGCACACAAGGGTTAAATACAGTGAACAGATACTGTAAGTGATGATGGTGCAGACGCTCACCCTGAAGATGTGTGTGTGGTTCAGGATCAGCTCCCGGGTCATCTGCACCATGTTTATGTTCATGGCCAGCTCCTGGAAGAATATGACCACGAAGATCACGGCCAGATTATGAGCCGTCATGCGGTTGGTTTGACTGTGCTTCTGCACGCTGGCAGCAGAAAGAGAAACACAAGCAACGTGTGAATGTCTTTACACTTGTTCTTGTCTGGTGTGAACGCACCATTAGACAATGTTAAGTTGTGGATTATTGGTAGGCCCTGTGTGTGCAGAAATCTGCAGATTTGAGAGGGGTCTGGCTGCAGACCTGGTGCAGTGCAATCTGGGCTGCATCCAGTGCTTTTTAATGGGCTCACCCAACCCCACCCGTCACAGTGACGTCACTCACTCCATTGAGTGCATTGAGTCTGACATTGCATCGCTGAGGGATGCAGTCTCAGCTTGCATCATAAAAGCTGCATCCAGATACTATTGGCAGATTTACTCATGTAAATGTGTGTAAATATATATTTATTTAGTTTTAAAATTCAATTCATTTCAGTAAAAGCCAAATGTTTGCTTATTAAAGTTAGTTAATACACATGGAGTTATCAAGTACTATTATACATTTAATAGTTCAATGCTGTAATAAACACATGCTTGTCCCCTACACCCCAACTCGCTCTTTACGTTCTGCTGACTCTGGCCTTCTCGCTGTCCCTCTGTATCGCCTCTTCTTTTGATCTGCCAAACTGACCACTTTATCTGATCCCCCTCCACTCTGCTCATATGTCTCTTAGGTCTTGTTTGTGTAACTCCAGTTTGTTATATTTGACTTCATGTATGTTTGTTTATCTTTTGTTGCATTGCTTTTAAAGTGTCCTTGAGCTCTGGAAAGGCGCTATATAAATGAAAATTATTATTATTAGTATTATTATTATTATTATTATTATTATATGTACTAACATTAATAGGCAGTGAACAACATATTCACTAACATTAACTACTGAAATATTATAACTTGTTACCATTTAGCAACTTTTTAGTCATTAAAAAGATGCTTTTGAAGCTTTCGACATTTTAATAATAACACTAATAATAATAATGTACACAGCTCATGCATTTCGTCTATTGCTCAAGCTTATTACGAAGTTCTATTGTTTACACATGTAACTCTACGGGCCCTATCATACACCCGGCGCAATGTGGCTCAAGGCGCGACGCAATATGTTTTGGTAGTTTCAGCTTGGCGCAAGAGTGGTTTTGAGGCAGACCGCTGGCGCGTTGCTATTTTAAGAAACTATAATAGATTTTTCATTAGACCAAAACTAACCCGGTCTAAACTCCAGCACAGAGTTGCACCTCGCTTACACACTGCTTAATACACACAAGAGAGCAATAGGCAAATATCTTCACATATGAAAAAATTTAAATATTAAGGATATATATAGGATATAATAAGAATAGATATAGGATATAAATATACAGGATTAACATATTACAAAACATATTATTTTCTAGCCTACATAAATATGAAAAATCACTGCTTTTATGTCTTCTTCATCTCGGGAGGCTTTTTCAGTTCATTCATAACAATCTGCTTTTGTATAATGTTATTATTATTAGCAGTATTATTTATTATATCCATATTTATATTTGTTTTATTAAAAACAAGCTTAGATTTGTCCACCTGTCAGGTTTTAGACCATATGGGGCACAGCATGTGTATTTGGAAATAACTCAGTATTTTGAGCACACTTGGTCATTATTGTTCATTTATTCGTTTGCTAGAAATTAGAACTGAATTTAGAAATAGTTTTGAAACAAATCTTTGTGCTTAACAAACGCAATTAATTATTTATAAGCTAAATGATGTCTGTGCGTAAAGGTTTCCCTATCCACAAGAGCAAAATCGAAAGTGAACTTACTTTACGTCATGTTAATAAGGAATGCGCTCTTGGCGCGATGCAGCTGACTCTTAAAGGGAATGGGAGATGAGACTCTGATTGTTTTTTCTCAAAACACACCTATAACTCATTAAGAGAATAAACTCAACACTTTTAGACCATGCGCCACGGCGCAAAGCGGATTTTCCCGTCCTTAAATTAGCAAGTATGGATTCTGACACGCCTTGAAAGCGTTTGCGCCCTGCGATTTGCGTTTTGCGCATGGCCACCAACATAGAGCCCATAGTGTTTTTGAAGGTTTCGACATTTAAATAATAATAATAACACTAATAATAATGTACACAAATCGTGCAGGCTGTCGATTGCTCAAGCTTAGTACAAAGTAAAATGTGGACATTCTAAAAGCCTCATATAATCAGATTGATAATTGTGTGTTGTTTACATGAGTAACTCCAGGTCTTCAGTATTCTAATAAGTGTGTTTACGAGGACAGAGTTGAATGGCTTACTTGTTGAGGTGTGCACAGAGAGCACTCAGTGTAGCGATGTTGTCTGGAGGAAGCTGTTTCAGCAGTTCTCTATACGTTTGCAGACGGACCTTTTCCCCTGGCAGAGCTGTGGAGAAATAAACGAGAAGTAATATATTATACTTCTTACAGAACATTGAAGAACTCAGTCATTCATGTCTCAGTGCTGTCTGGAATATTTAAAGGGCTATGAAACCCCCTCATTTCAGCAGGGTGTTTTCACACCTCTACTTTGGAAAAAAAAATCATAAAAGTGGGCGTGTCCAGCTTTGTTTAGGGGGGAGTGTCGGAGGAAGAAAAGAGGAATAGTGTGGGAGTGTCTATTTGGGCGCGCTGAGTTTGAGTCAAAACACACACACACACAGGGGACAAAGTGACTGTGTTTACTTGGACATCTGTGGCCGAATTATTTGCCAAATTATTAAATGGTGGACTTTAACTGCAGTTTGGCTCTTTCATTCAGGGAATTCATTCATGTTCCTCGCGACAAACGAGATATTTGATTCGAGGATCTGCTCTAAGCGTGTATTTTTCATGCAATGTTTGATACCGCACGGCGAATGAGAGAAAAAAACCTCCGCATTTCCCGGAAACTTAGATGCACACGGCAGGTAGTGTCAGAAAGCCGCGTGTGTTATTCCGGTCACAAAATGCGGTGAAAACCCTACACGAGGTTAAAGTTTGGTTGTGGTGCTAACATGTTTACACTCTGTGCAATAGTTAGTTAGATACGAACAAACTGAATAAACAAAGAGCGCTGGTCGCTCACTTACCAAATCTGTAGAGACAGGACAATCACCAGCAACTAGAGCCGCGTCTTTATGAAGAGGAGACTACAAGCGAATCCAGATCTCAGCGTTTGCAGATGAGAACAGCTCTCAGGTAAACAATAATCCTCCTTAGACACGTAAGTTATTGTTGTCGAGCGTCGCGTACACTGTTAATCCACACGTGAGTCTGAGCTCTCACAGAGAGAAAATGAAAACAAAACTTAACGGCAGCAAACTATAAAAGCAACACTTCACGCTTGTTTTGCCAACACAACGTGGCGTCTCTGTCGTGAAAACACTGTGACAGTAATGAATATTAATGAAGTTGCACAATAGAGCGCGCTGATTGGTTTGAACCAAGCCTTACTCATGCATTAATGCAACACACTGTAAGACGTAATAAGACACACTCTGGCACAGAGGTCCAGTCTGCACGCTGGAATACAGGCTATTATGTCATGACCGTAGCATCAAAAATTTGTTTCAAACCGGAAGTACGAATTTGCTTGAAATAACGCAAAAACAATCAATTTACACTTTTTAGTGAAATATAGGTGTCCTAATAGTGTTTTTAACATATACGACTGTCAACAGCTCAAAACATGTGTTTTGGTGTTTCGTGACCCTTTAAGAAAATGCTGTACGAAATACAGTGTGCAAAAAATACTAGTATTCAGCTTAAAGTGACATTAAAAGGTTTAACTAGGTTAATTCTCTCTTTAACTAGGTTAATCGTACACCCGGCGCAAGGCGCGACGCAGTTGTTGTTTGCTAGTTTCAGCTTGGCACAAGTGTCGTTTTGACGTTTTGCAGCACGCCGTTTAAATAGCAAATGCATTTGCACTCATGTGTGCGCCCATAGGCGTTCTGGTCTAAAAAAGGAGGTGTGTTGAGGCGCATTGCTGGAGCGTTGCTATTTTGAGGAGCTATAATAGAATGTTCATAGATCAGATCAAATCAGGTCTATTGTCCAGCGCAAAGTGCGTTAGTTGTGCGCCTCGCTTACACACTGCTTAATACACACAGGATGTACAGCAATACACAAATATCTTTACAAATGAAAAAGAATTAAAGGATTAAAATATTACAAAAAATATTATTTTCCAGCCTATATAAATATAAAATCCACTGCCTTCATGCCTTCATCTCGGGGGGCTTTTTCAGTTTATTCATGACAATTTGCATTTTGTATAATGTCACGTGCGCGCACACACCATCCGTAAAATCACTACTACAGCACAGAGTGTAATGCACACACACACACACACACACACACACACACACACACACACGAACGCAAGCACACACACAGTGACTAGTACTGCACACAATGTAATGCGCACACACACATGCATGGATGCACCCAAGCTCAAACAAAAATGCTCATGCATATGATGACAAGCGCTCATGCAAGCAGGCATGCACAAACAAAAACACACATACACACACTCTCACACACACATAAGCACACGCTCAAGCGAAAATTGCACGCACGCATGCACAAACACACTCATGCACTCACACGCTCAAACAAAAATGTGCTTGCGCGCACACAAACGCAAGCACTCTCACACGCAGTCAAGCACACGCAAAAACCCCCACATGCTCAAACAAAAATGCGCTCACACAAACACAGTCACGCACACTAACACTCATGCATGCAGTCACACACACACAAAAACTCGCACACGGACATACACGCACACTCAGACACGCTCACACACTCATACACACACCCTTTCTGACTTCGTAGCCTATATTCCTATTGTCATGAAGTAATTAATCTTTGAATGAATGTCTGTTGAGTTCAGACCTGCTGCGTTTTGCCAGTGTGGTCTGTGTGTTTGTGGGATGAGCTCGCTCTGTCGGAGGATCTGCTTCAGCGCTCCGGAAACGTCCAGCACGGAGAGCTCGTCGGTTTGCAGAACAGCTTCTTTTGGAGAAACACGCAGGGTGTCCACCAGTTTACTGATCTGAGGAGCGATGCCACACCGCCGGTACAATCCCTCCACCATCAACCCTGAAACAAACACATCATCTTGTATCACAGGTCTTGTATCGTATCATTTTACCTTATCAAATCACACATCATAGTGCATCATACCATATCATCGATAACGTATCGTATCATATCTTGTATTGTATCATTTTATGTATCAAATCACACATCATATTGTATCGTAACATATCATCGATAACGTATTGTATCATATATGTTGTATCGTATCATATATCTTGTATTGTATCATTTTACACATCAAATCACACATCATATTGTATCGTAATATATCATTGATAACGTGTCGTATCATATATCTTGTATCGTATCATTTTACACATCAAATCACACATCATATTGTAGCGTAACATATCATCGATAACGTAACGTATCATATATCTTATCGTATCATTTTACACATCAAATCACACATCATATTGTATTGTAATATATCATTGATAACTTATCGTATCATATATCTTGTATCGTATCATTTTACATATCAAATCACACATCAAATTGTATCATAACATCATCGATAACGTATCGTATCATATATCTTGTATTGTATCATTTTACACATCCAATCACACATCATATTGTATTGTAATATATCATTGATAACGTGTCGTATCATATATCTTGTATCGTATCATTTTACATATCAAATCACACATCATATTGTAGCGTAACATATCATCGATAATGTAACGTATCATATATCTTATCGTATCATTTTACACATCAAATCACACATCATATTGTATCGTAATATATCATTGATAACTTATCGTATCATATATCTTGTATCGTATCATTTTACACATCAAATCACACATCATATTGTATCGTAATATATCATTGATAATGTATCGTATCATATATCTTGTATCGTATCATTTTACGTTTCAAATCACATCATATTGTATCGTAACATATCATTGATAACGTATCGTATCATATATCTTGTATCGTATTATTTTACATATCAAATCACACATCATATTGTAGCGTAACATATCATCGATAATGTAACGTATCGTATATCTTATCGTATCATTTTACACATCAAATCACACATCATATTGTATCGTAATATATCATTGATAACGTATCGTATCATATCTTGTATTGTATCATTTTACGTTTCAAATCACATCATATTGTATCGTAACATATTATTGATAACGTATCGTATCATATATCTTGTATCGTATCATTTTACATATCAAATCACACACCATATTGTATCGTAACATATCATCGATAACGTATTGTATCATATATCTTGTATTGTATCATTTTACACATCAAATCACACATCATATTGTTTCGTGACATATCATTGATAACATATCGTATCATATATCTTGTATCTTATCATTTTACGTTTCAAATCAAATCATATTGTATCGTAACATATCATTGATAACATATCGTATCACATATCTTGTATCGTATCATTTTACGTTTCAAATCACATCATATTGTATCATAACATATTATTGATAACATATCGTATCATATATCTTGTATCGTATCATTTTACGTATCAAATCACACATATTGTATCATCGCATATGATATTTTATTGTTACATATCATATATCATCGATAACGTATCATATCATATAGCTCGTATCACATCATATCATCACATATATTACAACATCGATATCATACATGTTATAGTATCATATAGCTCGTATCGCATCATATCATCACATATATTGTATCGTATCACATATATTGCAACATCGATCATATATTGTATCGTATCATATAGCTCGTATCGCATCATATCATCACATATATTGTATCGTATCACATATATTACAACATCGATATCATGTATCGTATCATATAGCTCGTATCGTATCATCACATATATTGTATCGTATCACATATATTACATCGATCATATATCGTATCATATATAGCTCGTATCGTATCATTTCATCACATATATTGTATCGTATCACATATATTGCAATATCGAACATATATCGTATCACATCATATAGCTCGTATCGTATCATTTCATCACATATATTGTATCGTATCACATATATTGCAACATCGATCATATATCGTATCACATCATATAGCTCGTATCGTATCATTTCATCACATATATTGTATCGTATCACATATATTACAACATCATTATCATATATCGTATCCTATCTCGTATTGTATCAAATTACATATCATATCGCATCATTGATATCGTATCATATCACATAACATCATTATCTTTTATTGTATTGTGCCATATCTCATATTGTATCATATTATATATAGCATATCACATATCATATTGTATCATATCATGTCACATAACATCGATATATCTCATATCATATTACATTTATCCTGTCAAATGTTATAAACAGCTGGTTATGCTACTTGATGTTGCAAACTGACATTGTCCTATTATGATATTCTACCTATTTACGTATAGTCATGAACACACCTGTTTGTAGAGGCAGTAGTTTGACTGTTTTTTAGCCGATTGTTATTCCTAGTAATTTCTCCTATAGGCGACCGAATCGTAAGTTCTAAAACAATCGCACTTCCGCATTGCAGAACAAGCTCAATAGATAAAGCTTGTCTGGTGTTTGGTGATGTTGGCAGTGGCTCACCGTGCAGTGTGATGTGGGAGATGCAGCGGTGGACAGAAGTGGGCACAGATCCTGCCCTCTGCTGCCCGTCTGTGCTGGAGCTCATGGCTTTCTGTAGCAGCTCATGCCACCTGCGGCAGCTGTGCTCCAGCTCAAACTGCATGTGAAACGTCCTGCACGAACACACACACACACATTCGTCAGATACACTGACATTAATTAAAAATTACAGATCAAATCTTGCATCGTATATCATATCATACATCATATATTTTGCATCATATCATATATCTTATTGTATTGTATCATACTACATATATAATACTGTATCGTGTCATATCATGTAATATTGTACCATATCATATCTCAGATTATATCATGGCATATCACAAATCATATTGCTTTACACTGCATCCTATTGCATATTATATATCTAGCATTGCATCATAACATATTGTATCATATCACAAATCGTATCACATACAGTTGAAACCCAAAGTTTACATGCACAACCATGAACGCAACCATGTTTTAAAAACATGTCTGATGGTAAATGGCCCTTTAAAGCTCAATCTGCAAGTCATTGGCCCTCCAGTAGCAAGATTAGTCCTTTATATCATTACAGTGTATGAGATACTGACCTGTCAGGAAACTCCAGTAGGATGCAGTTCTCTGAGCTCTGCAGATCTGCACAGACCAAACATTAGCCTTTAATTATATCTACTTATACTTTAATATTTATATTCATCATAAAAATTCCTCAGTTTACTCATCTCTTGTCATCTATTCTAGATTTTTCATGCTCAACAGTAAAAATGAGAGATTGTCCCTCTTCCAAAAGGGAAAACCAGCAACAACCAAGAAGGCATGACTAAAAATGTGACTATAATGGAAGCCAGCCGCCAACAAATTAAAAGGGAAGTCAATCTGAACAGTACACAAGGGTTAAGGAGATTGTTTGATACTGACAGCAGCGTGTCTGGGCGTTCAGGATCAGCGTTTCTCTGGAGCGGAGCTGTAGTGTGTGTACGCTCATCTCTCCTTCCTGAAGCGAACACCAGACCTCAGCAAACTGAAGAGCAGCGCCTTCCCGAATCGAGAGTTTGGACACGGCAAACACTCCCAGCAGATCGTCCTGCTTTACAGTATCTGCAAGAACAACCTACGGTACACACACACACACACACTACTGTAAACCAATGCAAAATACAGCTGTCAGATTTTATTTAGTCTTTCAATCTGGGTGGCTCAGTGGTTAGCACTGTCGCCTCACAGCAAGAAGGTCGCCGGTTCGAGTCCCGACTGGGCCAGTGGGCATTTCTGTGTGGAGTTTGCATGTTCTCCCAGTGTTTGTGTGGGTTTCCTCTGGCTGCTCTGATTTCCCCCCACAGTCCAAACACATGCGCTATAGGGGAACTGAATAAGCTAAATTGGCCGTGTGTGTGAATGTTTGTGTATGGGTGTTTCCCAGCACTGGGTTGCAGCTGAAAGGGCGTTCGCTACCAGAAAAGAGAAGTGTTTTACCTTCATGATGTGCGTCATGTGACTGAGCAGAGCGTTGCGTTCATCAGCAGAGCAGGTCAGTCTGTCGGTCAGCGTGGACACCTCAAACTGATGAGTCTCCCTATACATGATCAATGATGAATATTAATAATAATGATTCTGATCTGCGTGGACTAATCTTATGCAAAGACAAAATAAAGGTTTCTGAGAATGTTGAAACCCTGAAACATTTACATCCATATTATTAAAAACAAATACTATGGATGTCAATAGTTTTTTTAGGGATGGACAATATATCTCCAGCCATATTGATATCGACCAATGAATTGAATTTATATCGAACAATTAGGTCAATTAATGACAGCAAATAAGTTATGCTTTTTTGTAGTTTACAGATGTATGCGTCATGCGCTGGGTTTTCCTCACCCGTCAGAGCAGTCGAACACTGAGACCACCTCTGTTAAATCCAGCACATCATAGGCTGCAGACTGGTTCTCCTGAGAGAACAAGAAACGCTCCTCATCCAGCTTCCCATGCAGCTCCTCTGCATGTGTGGAAGACAGAAAACACACACATCAATGACACAACACTGGCATTCATTCATTCGTTCATTGGTTCATTCATTCATTCGTTCGTTCGTTCATTCGTTCATTCATTCATTCATTCATTCATTCATTCATTCATTCATTCATTCATTCATTCATTTTATAAAAATTATTTAAATGTAATTATTTTTTATTTTAATTATATATACACATTTTTTATTTAAATTTAGTTATTTGTTTAATTTTTAAATTTGCACAGAATAAAAATTTATTAAATAAATAAATGATGGTGCGTATACTTTCTTGTTTTATGCATTCGTTTATTTAAATTGTATTATTTTTATTTATTTGAATGTAATTATTTAAATTGTATTTAATTATATAAATGTAATTATTTTTTATTTTAATTATATCTACACATTTTTATATAAATTTAGTAATTTAATTGTAAAATTTGCATAAGAATAAAAAATAATTAAATAAGACAGTAAAGTACACACCATACTTTATTCATTTATTTAAATTGTGTTATTTTTATTTATTTATTTAATTTTATTTATTTATTAAAATTAAATTATTCATTTATTATAATTAAATAATTTTATTGAAATTAATTTTTTATTGTATTATTAAATTATTTAAATTCAGATATTATTTTATTTATTTTAATTATATATACATACATAATGTATTTGAATTCATTTCATTTTTAAATTTGCACAAGAATAAAAGTGAACGAATTTAAAAAATCATTTATTTATTAAAATTATATTATTTTTATTCATTTAAACTTATTTATTTAAAACTATTTATTTCTTACAATTAATAATTTTTATTTTATTATTAACAAAACTTTTATTTTATTTAAATATTATGTAATTGTATGTAAATGAAATTATTATTTAAATGGTATTATATACTTAAAAAATCATATTAGTTATATATATATATATATATATTTATTTTATTTATTTTTATTATTATTATTTTGTTGCACAAGAATGAAAATGAATGAAATAAAACAGGAAAGTACAAGTCATAATTTGCAGGACGAGGCAGAAAAGCCAAAGAGCTTACTGTTGGGAGAATTTATGTAATTCGGAGTACAATAATCTTGAAAATAAACCAAGTCTAGATCTCAGAGTTTCAGTCTTACCCATCTGCTCCTCTGAATGTCTCGTCTGCTCAAAGTCAGGAGCCTCTGGAACACAGAGAAACACCAAAAATCTGAGAAAAATTCACTAAAATATGCCCCGGGTCAAACTTCAAGATCAACAAAACAAAGATTTTTATTCTACAGACTTATAAAGGTGTGTGACATCACTTTAAAGACAAAATAAACAAACAAAAACACCATTTTAGCACCTAATAGATTATGACCAACAATCTAATGAAGTTTTACACATTCATTTGTATAGTTGTAAATTCACAGCAAATGTATACTGTAAACCACAGCAAAAAAATGCCTTTCTTATCGTTTTTTTCGTTTCTAGTCCAAATATCTTAAAATCCAAGATATTTACACCTAAATCAATAAGCATTTTCTATACAAGCAAAAAATATAGTCTTGTTTTCAGAAATTATAAGTCAAAAATAAATGAATTTTTCCTTGAAACAAGTAAAATAATCATATTTTTAAATCAAAAACATCATTATTTTGCTTGTTTTAAGGAAAAACTCACTTAATTTTGACTCATTATTTCTAAAAACATGACAATATGCTTTGCTTTTCTAGAAAATGCTTCTTGATTTAAGAAATTTCAGACATTTGGACTTCAAACAAGACTAAAACTCTTGGTAAGAATGGCATGTTTTGCAGTGTAAGCTCTTGCTGATACAGTAGTGCTTGTTCTGGACTCCACTGACCCACAAACTCATTGTGACGCAGCAGTTCAGTCTGCAGGGCCTGTCCCGCGCTCTCGGCCACAGCGATGGCGGATTTCAGCTCTGGATCCGAGCTGCTGCAGGACACTTTCGCTCCGGAGCAAAGCAGAGACACGGTTTCCTCCACAGCGGGTCCACACACCACCTCCCGCAGCCTCTGAAGAGCAGCACAAACACGCACATTAACACCTCCGTCTGCAGTGCACGGTTCAAATTGACTCCCCTTTCGTTATGCTTGTGGCTGTTTTTGCCCCATTGACTTCCATAATACAATCTGGTTTTTGCTTTGAAATCAGTTTATTTTGCTCACCTCAATGGGGGCTATTTAGCTTGCTTTAAAGAAAAACTCCATTAATTTTGACATATTACTACTGAAAACAAAAACTAAATTTTTTACTTGTATGGGGAACGCTTCTCTGTTAAAGCACTTTTAGATGTTTTGACTAGAAACAAGACAAAAACATTTATTTATAATGCCCTGCAATAATGCAATAATGCCCTGTTTACACTAAAGTGTTTTAGTTTTAAAACGGCTTTTTAGATCAAAAACAATCGGCGTCCACACTAGCGTTTCACCTAGCGTTTCTGAACATATCTCCGTCCACACTACGCCACCAAAAACGTATATCACGTGACCATTCATGCACTCTGGGCATGCGCGCTCTAGTATAAACAGGAATCATGCGTCTCGCTCAGCATTTGGTTATTGTTAGTCAACAAACGCCAGTTGAACAATGAACGCGATGGCAAAGAAAGCAAGAGAGGTATTTTTGTGGACAGACGACGAGGTCGAGTTGTTACTAAACGTAACAAATGTATAACTGCACAATGGCGCCTAAAACAGACAATAGTGTAAACAACGCTCCCATTTCTGTGTCCATGTTGTTGTTTACAGTGAAGACTAGTCTGCTGTCTTGCGGTAGCGTTAAAGCCATGTGTTACAGTCATGTGATAGGGGCTTGACGAATAAGGGAAGGATACGCAATGACACAAAAGCCCCAATCAGCTAGCGAATCTCAGTAGCCCCGCCTCCGTTTTCAGATGTCTCCGTTTTCCCTCATCCACACTGAGACGGAGCAGCAGCGTTTCAGAATGAAAACAGCCTCTCCAGCGTTTCCAAAACACTCCATTTTCGGCGCTCGAAAACTCCGGCGTAGTGTGGACGAATGGCGTGACCGTAGCAAAACTTATGCGTTTTAAAACTAAAACGTATTAGTGTAAACGGGGCCTAATAGACATGTAGAACATTTTACACTTTAATTATATATATATGATGACGATCTTATTAATATTTTGGGTCAATCAATGTTCATTTTACACACAAAAAAACTGCTATTCTTCATATCCAGCATAACTTGTTAATAGGGCTGCACGATATTGATAAACATCCGATATTGTTGAGTATTACAGTATAACACAAGGACATTAAGGGTGCTTTCACACCTACACTTTTGTTTGGGAACGTGTCTTGTTTGCCCAGTTAGCGCGGTTCGTTTGGCATATGTGAACAGGGCAATCGCGCTCTGTTCCGTACCAAAGTAATCGCTCCGAGATCGCTTGAATGAGGTGGTCTCGGCTCGATTGAAACGAACCCTGGAGCGGTTCGATTGCAGTGAGAAAGCGATCTGATCCGAGCGCGGTTATATCACAGTGTATTATGGATATGTAATAGGCTTACGGCTATATGAAGAGAGAGTTATGAGTAGGGCGGGAAGTTTCGCGAGTCTCCGGATGCCCGCAAACGAGTGATGATCTCCCGGTAATCTCGCGTCTTCCTCCCTCAAATAGGCATCGTCGCGCACTCTTCTCACCCCTCCCCACCGCGTCTCTCCTCAGACATGTCGCGCGCGCACCCTGTCAATCACCACCAAACCACCACCTCTCCTGACAGCTGAGCGGGACGCTGCAAAATAAACCCTGACACTCTGACCAATGTAAGGAGAGTTTACTCGCACGTGACTTGTTTTAGCTCTTTTGGTCCGTTTAGAAACTTTGCAGTGTGAAAGCGAACCGCTCCAAGAGCAAAGAGCAACAATGTAACAATTGTAATCTCTGTTTCGGAACAACTGAATCGATTCACAGGTGTGAAAGCAGCCTAAAATAAACTCAAAGACTCTTTCAGATATAATTAATTCCAATTCGTTCAACCAGCAGACATCCTCACCTGGTCCAGCAGTTTCTGGCTGGCGGCGAGAGGGTGAGCTTTACGGTAAAGTCCTTTGTGGTATTTAGCCAGAATGAACTCCGCCCTCTGGTCTGGAGAGGCGAGGGGGCTGATCTGCTCAGTCGGAGGGATGTTGTGACCCCAAACATTGTTGGCAGTTTTATTGCCGTGCAGGACAAACAGCTGAAAGCATCAAACGGACACACTGTTAGAAGACTATTAGACATTTATTAAAACACATTTGAGTTGTTACCGATTAATGAAAAGGCCCACATCTTATAAAATCACTGACACGCAATCTGAAAACAGTCAATTAAATATAAAAGGTACCATATCAAAATATTAAATGCTGTGAAATTGCTACATATGTTTGTAATGAGGCAACAAACACATGTAGATTGCTCCATATAACAATTTAATATACAAATATGCATGGTTTCATATCACTCAGCTCTTACTGTGTGATTTTTGTGAAGGATGCCAATGGACTTTATCAAACGCATCTGTTTATGCAAAGGTTGACATTAATTCTTGCCTTTGTTTTCATGCATGTTAAAATTTTAAGTACAACGGCAAATACTGTTAGTCTTTTCTGTTGAGTATAATCAAAATTGATTATGTGTCATTCAAAACACAACCCAGGAGCAAACTAGGTTATTCTGGTGGATTAAAGAGGCTGAAATGCTGCCAACTAAAACAATCCTAATAATAATAATAACCAAAAGATGGTTAACAATCCATTGACTAGTTTCTTCATTTGTTTTTTAACAAATAAAGTATATATATTTTGCATGTGTGTATTTCAGAGGACATCAAGCTGTGTTAGTGAGAAAGAAAGCAGGCACTCATGAGAGCTCTGGAGCATCAAAGCAGAGCTCATTAATATTCATGACCATTCCAAATATGGTCAAAACTGAGCTTTTCATTTATGAGGTAACTACAGGTTTCATTAATATTTCTTGGGCTTATTCTTCATTTCAGAGGTCTCCACAGCGGAATGAACCGTCAACTGTTCCAGCATGTTTAATTTAGCCCCTCCAGTTGCAACACAGTATTGGGAAACACCCATACATACAGACTAGGTGCGTTCGGCTTGAACCACGCCTGCAGCCAGCAAGATTAGCCAAGTGCAGGCGGTGCGGAGCTGCAAATGAAGCTGTTAGGTCGGACACCTCAGGGCTGGTATTTTGCCTCATGATGGCAAATCACATGGCGAGATCAATGATTTATTTATTTATTTAGTAATTCAATCACATTAATCTTAAAAAACAAAACAAAAGGACATTTCCAAAATAAGTGAGCTACACTTTCAGTGGAAATTTCACAGAAAAAGCATGATATAAGGCTATTAATGTTACTTTTAAATTGATTTAACATTTTTATAAACGGCTTGACGGGATAAAACTATTTTATAAATATAGATATTATTTTGGAACAATTTTATTGAACAATTACTTATCTAAATTTGTAAAGAAAATGTTATGGGGTGGCACGATCAATGAGTCTATAAGTTAATATTTGGTTATTCACTAAAAATACAGAATTTAAAGCGTATATGGAGCTGTACAGTATACAGTAAAGGCTCTGTATGAAAATGGTCCAAAATAAACCTATGAAAGCAAATTTAGCCTTTATAAACAAATTGATTCGCTGATTCGAGCCTCGGCTGGCTCAGTTGGCGTTTCTGTGTGGAGTTTGCATGTTCTCCCTGCGTTCAGGTGGGTTTCCTCTGAGTGTTTCCCCCACAGTCCAAAGACATGCGGTACAGGTGAATTGAGTAGGCTAAATTGTCCGTAGTATGAGTGTGTATGGGTGTTTCCCAGAAATGGGTTGCAGCTGGAAGGGCATCCGCTGCGTAAAACATGTGCTGGATAAGTGGCGGATCATTCCACTGTGGCGACCCCAGATTAATAAATGGACTAAGCCGATAATGAATGAATGAATGCTCTCTGCTACTTTATAGCCGTGGCGAGCATTTCTTTCTGTGTGGCGCTGAACGCAGCTGACCAATCACAACAGACTGGGTCATCGGACCAATCAGCATAGATTAGCCTCATGCTAAGGAGGGGTTTAAGAGCAAATGAATTGCTGAACGAATCATATGCGAGTCGTTGAGATAATTAGGTAAAAAAAATGCATATTATAAACATATTGCATGTATATCAGTTTGTTCTTGGAGACCCCCAAAACCAAAATATGATGATTTAGATCAAAGGGCCATATAATCTGAAAATTATGCCTCTGGCTGAAATTAGCAAAAACACTTGTCATGTCTGGTGTTGCATTGCGCTGTCAGTATGATAGCACCCTCAGTGTTAAAGCTCTAGAAATACAGGTCGTAGCATGACAAAACTCACCTGAATTAAAGGCTCGGTCCAAACCTTATCATCTAGTTTCAGGCCTCTGACTTTGGAGCGGCTGCTGCCCATGGAGCGATGTGCGCCCGCACAGGCCTCACAGATGACCACCAGCAGGTTCACCGATGCCCACTCTGGGTTGGCGGCGCCACAGTCAGCGCAGACCTTATTACAGGGACTGGACCACAGCCGGAGCGCCACCTCGCTGTAGGACAGAGCGTTGCGGATCACGTCATTCAGACTCTCCAGCCACGCGCTCGCCTCTTTACTGGAGTCTGCAGAAAAACTGAACAAACCGGTCGGGTTACTTCACGGCCTACGGCAAAACAAACCATGAGACATGCTGTAAGATAAGGGGAAAATTTTCTGGTGAGACTTTACTTAAAGGGGGTGTTCATGAGAATGTCATGATAACTTTATAATCATGACGTGGCACTTTAATTGTTTAATCTTTATTTGACCAGAAAATGCTCTCTGAGATAAATAATCTCTTTCACGAGAGTGTCCTGGCCAAAAATAAGCAGCAAGACAGTATACAGACTTTACAGGACAAACTGCACATTAAGGGCCCTAACATACACCTGGTGCAATGCGGCGCAAGGCACGACGCAGTTGTTGTTTGCTAGTTTCAGCTTGGCACAAGTGTCGTTTTGACGTTTTGCAGCACGCCGTTTAAATAGCAAATGCATTTGCGCTGATATGTGCGCCCATAGGCGTTCTGGTCTAAAAAAAGAGGTGCGTTAAGGCGCATTGCTGGCGCGTTGCTATTTTGAGGAACTATCCGCTTGTTAAGTGGTGACGTGTTGGTGTCGTATGTAATACTGTTTCCGGGTCCAAGCCTCTATTCATTTGAGTGGAGAAATCATTCGTTTATGATCGCGTTTTATTACTATCACACATTAAAGTTAATTTTATAAAAAATCATAGTGTACACAACAATCTCTGGGCTTGCTGCATAACAAATACCAAAAATTTAACAATTTATAAAAAAATTAATCACTTTCACATATTAGGCATGGACATATATATACTGCGATCGTGATTTTCGAAAGTATTAAATCGCTTTGTAAACGTTTATTATTGCCATTTCATGAGTCTCCCCATTCAGTTGAATAGAGTGCTTGGACCCGGAAGCCGCTTAGCGTGACGTCACACTTAACAAGCGCATAATAGATTGTTCAATGATCCAGAACAAAGCCGGTCTATTGTCCAGCGCAAAGCGCGTTAGTTGTGCGCCTCGTTCACACACTGCTTAATACAAAATGGCTGCCGTCGCGTCATCCAGGTAGATGCTGCCCACTGGTTGTGGATGCAGAGATTCCCCTATTGCGAAAAGCACTATTTAAATGTAAGGAATTATTATTATTGTGATTACACTTTATTCTGTTTGACAGTTTTAAATATAAAATTCCTTTAACATTTATTTCAGTACAAAGTAAATAAATTGCATGTCTTTGACTAAAAACATTATGCAAATGATCAGGAATTGATCGCGCAAAAAACACATCATCCAACGCTCTCATGCAACATTTAAAAGGATGGATTTGCATCTGTGAATGCTTTTTATTGAAAAACTTTGCATTTAAAAATGACACAACTGGGCGAATGACATGTATGAACAGTTATCATAAGTATGCATATGTAACCCTGCCGGTCCTACGCCACCCAACCCGCTCCGGGCTGAGATCGAACCAGCGACCTTCTGCATGGGAGTCGGTTGCTCTAACAAGGAGGCAAAAGACCATGGCCTCTAGCATCTGTCGCTAGAGCACCTTTAGAGGTCAGAGGAGTGAGGTTTACCTGCACAGCACTCACTAGCTGGCCTCCGTTACACATATATTATTGTGTCATGTATTGACTATAAACATGTCAAATGAACACACCCTTCAAGTAAAGTGGTACCCGTTCTCTCGTGTCCCTACAGAAAAATCTAGCTTAAACCAGTCTAGGCTGGTTGGCTGGTTGACCAGCCTGGTTTTAGAGGTGTTTTGGCCATTTCCAGCCTGTTTTCCTGCCATTTCCAGCCTGGTCTTCCAGCTAAATCCAGCTAAAACCTAGCCAGGCTGGGAGTCCAGCCAAAACCAGCTATGTCCAGTTTTAGCTGGATTTAGCTTGTCATTTTCCAGCCCGACCAGCTAAGACCAGGCAAACCAGCCTGGAAATGGCCCAAAACCCTCTAAAACCAGGCTGGTCAACCAGCTAAAACCAGCCAACTAGCCTAGACTGGTTTAAGCTAGATTTTTCAGCAGGGGTATATCTTTCAAGCTGCTGTTTTGACTGTATGGTGCAAACTTTTGACTGAACAATAAGTAGGTTAGTCTAGGCTGCATTCAGTTGATTTTTCAGCTTTTTAACACAACGTTTTAGTCTGTTTGTTTAGTTTAGCCATCTAATAAGTGGGATAATGCACATGTAGGCGGTTGCAGAATAAACCCTTCAGTCTTACACAACAGACTTACTGATATTCTGCAATAACATTAGAAGATAAAAGGAGACACTTACTTAAAGGTCCTGTATGGGGTAATGAGACTGAAGCCGTAGCGTCCTGTGGACTTCACAGACGCGATATTCATAGACACACACATCATGCCGAGACCTAGATTGAAGTCCTGCCGATTCAAACACAATTTCCTTGTCACGTGTTTAACAAATGTATAGCCTGCTTTACGTGTTACATTTATTTGTACACTTTTACATTCTCAACATTCAACACAGGCAGGTGCTGCTTCATGCTGTGAAACGTTTTTATTTGGGTTAAAACTCTTATAATAACTGCACACAATACATCATTTATTATTAAGCACTAGCAAATGGTTCATTCCTCATTTGTTAAGTATTAATAGACATTAGTTAGCAATTTATAAATACAGCTACTAATGCTGCATTGTTGACAAGCACACGTATATGACTGCATTTTCATACTTAGTTAACCCTGCTGAAAAATCCAGCTTAAACCAGCCTAAGCTGGTTGGATAGATTCTGGTTTTAGCTGGTCGACCAGGCTGGTTTTAGAGGGGTTTTGGCCATTTCCAGGCTGAATTCCAGCTATTTCCAGCCTGGTCTTAGCTGGTTAGGCTGGGAGATGACCAGCTAAAACCAGCTTGACCAGCCTAGCCAGGCTGGGAGTCCAGCCAAAACCAGTTGTGTCCAGCTCAAACCAGGCTGGTCAAGCTGGTTTTAGCTGGTTTTAGCTGGTCATTTTCCAGCCTGACCAGCTAAGACCAGGCTGGAAATGGCTGGAA